TCAATTACCATAAACAGGGGCACTATCGCCTCAGCAATGACAGCTTTTGTGAGATACTGGAAGAGAAAAGATATTAGGTAAGGTATTGGATTGTTATTGGTATCCACAGAAAGTTGCAGTATGGATATCGGACATGAAAAAATGGAGCCACCCTAGTTATTATAGGTATGAAAAATTTGAAATGAAAAAACATTTTTTATAAAACCTGTCAAAGCTACCTAAAACTGACCTGATAATTTAAAAATATCTAGTCAGAAACCTTTTGACTTACCCAGTAGGTGTCAGTAATGCAATACATTAAGGCTGAGGTGCCATTCATTTCTAAAAAAGAAGAAGCAGCAGGGTTAGGGCAGTCCTGTCCCGTAAGTCCTCTCTCCTTTAAGTGCCTTTTACTTAGTTTTTTTTTATAATAAACACAGCTGACCTCATTCTGACATCATCCCTGTCTGCAATTAGAGACGGCAAATCACTTAACCTCAACACCCACTGTCTGATAAGACTTAATTTAAGTCAGTTGTGGAAGAAGTCTTTGAATTTTATCTGACTTTGACTGTGTTCAGACGAGATAAATATTGAAAAACAGCAGGCGTCCTTAAGAAATGATAACTCCTCCACTGTATGCCCTTTAACATGTTGTTATTACACTCTAATAAGAAAATTAGACATTGTGGGACGAGAGCAACTAGCATTACTTCCATGTCCTCTGTCTCACTAATGAGTACTTTTTTGACAACAATTTCAGCCTAAACTTAGATTAGTAAAATAGGGTATAGTTTACTACTTTTTTGACAACAATTTAAGCCTAAATAACATTTAGATTAGTAAAATAGGGTATAGTTTAGGCACAGTTGTGGATTCCATTGTTTCAGACTTAAAAATCATCAATTTTCTTTTGAATCCAGTTTGTCGTCAGTGATTAAATCGTTTAATCACCCATCAAATAAACTGTTTTTATTATAATTGCGTTGGCAAATTGGTTTGAATAATATTACAACAGCTTGGCTGACTTCAAGTGTGATCTTGAAAAATACACTTACATTTAAATATACATTTGTCATTTTATAAAATACAGTATGCAAATAATGATCTATTATGCTGAGTCCAATGGGACAGTAATTGAAATGAGGACATTATTCAGAAGTCCATATTTTACCACCAAGTCACATTAACCTCAGCATGGCAGAAATTAAATGTATGAAAGGAGATTTGCATAATGGTCAATGCCTCCACTAGGTGATGACCAAGAGTCATTCGCACAAATCTACCCATTATTCATTAGATCCATTTTACTTTCAGGATTGTGTTTGCAGCCACTCATTGCAGAGTCCTACGGTGTATGAATGTGGTGCTCTCTAAATAAAACTGTTGAAATACCATTGTTATATTTTTTATGGCTGTTTTAATGCGTAATTTTAGTATCTGCTAAAAATCTGAATGTCAACAAAAAACACCTACATTTACCAAATATACGATAAATATTTACAACAGTTGACTTACATTTAGCTCAAATGAATACATTTGAGGTTGTTAAAATGCCAAAGTCCAACCAAACTAATAATCAACCTGCTCATCTAGCTACTGTAGAATTAACTGATGTCATCAGTATGGCTGATAATGTATTGAGTAGCCATGTTTGTGTGTTTGTGTTGTGTGATTGTTGTCTGTCTCTATATGCGGCCCTGCAATAGGCTGGCCAACTGTTCAGGGTCAGCTGGGAACGGCTCCAGTGCCCCCTGAAAAGAGTAAGCTGTAGACAATGGATGGAAGGATGGTTATGAATTACTTGGGTTATGCGACAGATAACTAACTAACTAAAGTAACTACAGAAATAGATTACACTTGAGTCTAAGGTAAAATGAATCAGATAAGTAATATTTGTCACAGAGCAATAACAAGTTAATTGATACAACACAGCTTAGCTTGGGAAATGTTGATCAGATAGGTAGCCTAGAAATGCTAGGAAAACTTTTATATGGGCTACACTAAACTTATCTAAAATACCATAATGCCAGCTACACTGTATAAAAGTGACATTTGTTTCATGCTCCAATAAGTAGCTAATGTAGTTAGGTAGGTGTGTGAAATAATAACAAAACCTGGGGGTCTAATTAAGTCTCTGACTGTTCCTAATAAATCCACCCACCTCTGCATTGTAATCCAACTCCCACTCCCATATAGCAGTGACAGCTGCAACCCAGAAACATTTGTCCTCTTCGGTTCACGTCAAGTCCATCCTGTCTGTCGCAGGAAGGATCGCCTGTATTAATACTGCAGTCTTTGACATGAAGTTCTGATGAGATGTGTCGGTGTGTGTGATGATGCATGAACCAGGTGAAACCAGGTAAAGATGAGGACGCGCAGATGCTTTAAGAGCTGTCTGAAAACAGCTGGCCTTTCATGTGGCTGCCGTCGCTGTGGACACGACCGTGGAATAATAGGCTGAGAAAGTTGTGCTTAAGTAATTCTTTTCAATACAATTCAATATAAAAATATAGGTTGATATAGGTTTAATTACAACAATATTATGAATATGTAATAGAACATTTGTTATGACAGACTGGCAGTGAAAGACAAAACAAGACAACGAAGTAGACAAGTCTTTTCTGGCTTTTCTCTAATCCTAGTCAAAATATAATTACAAATGCAAAGCAACACAAACATCTTAACAAGACACCAGTTAATGTTGCACTCACTATATGTGAGGATATTCCAAGCTTCTTGCAGTAAAGATAGAACAGTCTTGCTTCTTGCCCCATTTGTTTCCACTGTCCAGTGCCGAGGATTTAAACATAATGTTTATTCTTGATTTATCAGAAGAAGAAGATGAATTAGAAGAAACTTTCTGTGAAAACATCACAGAGGCTTTGAAAAAAAAAAGACATGGGTTTTTAGGCAAATGCGATGGTAGAAGTTTGGGTCCTATCAGCCATGGATTGGTTTCCTAGGAAAAACTTGCAATACTCAATGAGACCTAAGTCACATCACTGTTGTCTGATTTGTGCCGTGGCTAGGCTTTAATGAATGTTTTTCTATGACAAATGATGAAGTCAGAGATTTTTCATTTGTGCTGCTATTGCCTAAAGACACCTCATGAAAAAAGATTTGGATAGGAACATGATGGATTCATGTAATTACCAGCAGTCGCACATCTGTATGAAGTGACACTTATCCTCTCAAGTATTCAACAAAAACAAATGATTTACAATTCTCTAGTAGCTGCTTGCTTTGCTAAAATGTCACTTATGGACAAGGCAATTTATTTAATTTACATTTTTCTAAATTTAGCACTGAAATAACCTTAAATCCAGACTTAATACTAGCACAATACCCTGAGTTCATCAGTAAATGGAGACATGGACAATGTATTGTTCTTAAAGTTATGGATGTAATAAAAAATAGATTTTTCTTAAAATTTAAAAAAATACAAAGTTGTGCATTTAATGTTTCCATTTGCTTTCAGTATTTTTAACAATTATTACCATATAATCCTCCTCAAATCACAGTGTCACTCTGTGTTCTTTCTAAAAAGAAAAAAAAGTTATCTCAGGACTTTTTTATTGAACTGAACACCTCATTTACGAAGAAGTCATTAAAAGAGATTGTTAATAAGCAGCAAGCTCTGACAGCTTAATAAATCAATCACCACTAGCTGCCCTCAGAGTCTGTTCTCACGCATTTATACTAAAGTATTAATCTTTGATACATACTGTATGTTAACAGCTCTGCATCAGTGTCCAAATTGTACCACAAAGTCTCATTGTTGTGTTTCATGTTACTCCTGGTAACATTATTCCAGGGTTTTTTTTAAAATTTCCACTTGTACTTTTAATCTGAAGGGTAGGAAAGTACCAAATAACTATTACTTATGAGTTTCTTTTGACCAAACCTGGATCATATTATTGTTTTTCAAAGTCTTATGTAAAACAGTAAACAAGACGGTTAATCACATTACGTTAGATTTCTTACTTATGCCCATTGATATATATATATCCCATTGATTTGGGGCTTGCATTGTGTGGTTGTGGTAACATATGAAAATAAGTTTTGTCTAATGTAAAATATTTAAGGGGTGATGGATCTTAGAGCTTTTGATCCCCCAATCCTATAGGGGGCGACTATAACAACGTTTGAGCCCTCTGGTTGATGCCAAGAATGCATACAACATATTATTCTATGTTGTTTAAGTCTAATCGTGTGATTGACTTAAAAGTCTAAGTCTAAGTCTAATCGTGTGATTGACTTAAAAGCTTTAACATATATTTTAAAAATTGTGTTCATAATGATCATATAATAGCGGACCTTTACAGAAACAAAACAAAAATTTTACTGCATCTTATTTTTGTTTGCCAATCTATATCTATATAAGTTGCCTGTTCTAATGACTATCAGGAATACATTGTAAAATCATTGTACTCTTTCTTCTAAAATATTAAGTTTATCTCATCAGGGTAGATGATATAGTGTTTTTAAATTTTTTATTAGAACTCGTAGTCATCAATTCAAATATTAATACATATTGACGCTTGACAATAAATGTTTGAACGTTGTAACCCACTCATTGCATAGTTGATTTAATTTCGTCAAAGTACTTTCGACACAGAAGAAAAACGGACTAATTCATGCTACATAAAGCGTCATATCGCAGCTTATAATACATAACGTTCAATAATAAAAAACAACACTAATATCGATGCAATAATTTAAAGAAGAAAATCGTAGTTAATGGCATGGGAACTGTTGACGAAAACGCGGAGTCGTAACTCAGCTGCATTGTCTTGCTTTTCAACATGGCGGCGGTTGGCACCTAGAATCGTGTTTTGAGAGTACCAGTGAGAATCATTGTAACATTTTGGCTGTTTGGAAATTCGTGTTACTTTCAAAACTAGTGTATAGTAACATATTATATAATATTTTGTACGAAAAGGAATCGTGTGTAGAATATTGGCCTCACCATGTATCGTCGCGGAGCAGTAAAGAAAGAGAAGCCCGTGAAGAAGGACGTCAGTGACAGTGATAAATACGCCGACCTCTTGGTGTTCGGATATGCCTGCAAAGTGTTTCGAGATGACGAACGGGCTCTTTACCACGAGCATGGAAAACATCTTATCCCATGGATGGGGGACAAGAGCATCCTGATCGATAGGTCGGTTGAACAAACTTAGACTGAAAACATTCTTACTAACCAAATATCTCCTGTCCGTTAGCCTATCTCAAACATGTTAAAGACCACTGTGGAGTTTGTCTTGCAGAAGTCTGGGGAATAAAACATTTGCAATTATCAACGAATGTTTGATTTTATGCTTGTAATTATATCTATGGTCGTCTTGACATGGCAACAGAACAAATTTGAAGTTTGTACCTTAACATGTGAAAATGCAATTCCAGGGCTAACGGTAGCCACGCTGCTAAACCACTAACTAAGACAAAATACTAAGAACTAATGTGGTGGTTTTAGTTACATTAGTTAAAACCACATGCATTACAAATAGACCTAGCAAAGGATGCTGTAAGTGAAACTACAGTGTTCTTTTTTGTTAAGCAAGCAAACATTCTACAGTCCTCTTGGTCATCCTGGCTCGACAAATGCAACTCCAAGCATTTCAAAAAGTTGTCTAGCTTCAGATAGCATTTACACTCAATACAGTTCTTTTTTTAAAAATGCCTTGTTTGATGATTGTGGCCAGAAGTCTATATGCATCATTATTTTAGGTAGACAATACAAAAGAGACTTGGCAGTGGTCAGCTTTGAGTGAGATTTTGCATTTTCACACGTTAACAGAATTTCCTCTGGAAGAGTTTTCTCCATGCCGACTTTGTGGTAAAAAAAAATAAATGGCTGTATCAAACTATGACACAGTATTTCTGTCTTTTTAATAATAAGCATTCACACAAAAAACAGATGGAGTTAAAACTGAAGTGGTTGGTTGTGAAGCTTTGTGTAAACCGTAAGACCAGAGCAAATTCTAACAATGACTGAAGTTGCTGTGGTTAAGGTGATTTAAAAAAAAATCAAAGGAAAACACTTTAGAACAATTAGACAAAGTTTGTCTGGTGTGGTCCTATTTGCTTGCTTGAGTTCTTTCAATTATTTGGTAATGTTGCATTACCAAAACCCAATCAGCACTACTACCAAATTTAACTAATTAAGCAATTAGCCTAACCTAATCATCTTAACCTGCAGTGACCCCACCTGTGTTTTATCTGTACAGCTTTTGTATGTGTGTCTTTATCACATAACCCAGTTTTCCCCCAGCAAGGTAGGCTAAGGGGTCCTGCCAAAACCCCGAATGCCAACTTCGGCACTTCTTTGTCTTCATGAAGAAGCCTCAGCTGGGATGTGGCGTAGAGGGACGAACCTTGGAAAATGTCATCCATTTGGGTTCTTACGGATAGGTATTTATGTGCTCGGGTTTGTGTGAATGTAACTATCTTTGCAGATGTAAAAGTAGTGGTGGATGTTTATTATGGGGGATTGAACCCTGTAAGGTAAGAGGAGAGTTGCTTTGTTTTTTTTGTTCAAGGTTTGTTGCATTGTAAGGACAGCAGATGCCTTTTACATTAAAGCTCAGTGATCTCTTAGCGAAATATATTATATATTTCAAAGAAAAGTTCCACAACTTTAAGAATTTGAATATTGTACTCCCTTAACTGTAGACTATTTTAAATGTTATAAAATAAGGGGAGTAGGTTTATTTTTTGTGTTTGATGATTTTGTTGAATTCCTTCTTTCTAATCCTTTTTATCATTCAACAGATACGATGGACGTGGTCACTTGCATGACCTCTCAGAATATGACAGCGGGTCATGGAATACGTCCTACCAGCTGTCAGAAGAAGAGGCCAGAATTGAGGCGCTGTGTGACGAGGAGCGATACCTGGCTCTGCACACTGACCTGCTGGAAGAAGAGGCCAGACAAGGTGGGGAGAGTGACACATCTGTGCCTTTAAAATTTGAATATTTCAAATTAAAAACACATGCACACGTTAAGTTTTCCTATTATTTTTTTTGCAGATTGCTAGTGCAATAAAATCCTGCTTTAAAATGTGACACAAACAACAACATACAGCTTATTATATCTTCTCAATATCTTAAAATGGTAGCTGAAGGAAAATTCGTAATACTTATGTTAAGTAAAAAGCTGTTCTACAGTGTTCACTGAATGCTACATTTTTGTTCAATCTCCTGTTTTTTCATGCAAATGTTTCTCCGTCAGTTGAGTACTTATAGATGCAATGCATAGTTTTGGTATTGTCTTACCATGGCGGAGTGAAAACTGTCGCTGATCGATTCAATCATGTAGCGACCCACTGATAATACCTCAGATCTTGTGTCCTCACTACATCTGTTCCTTAAACCATAATCAAGCTAAATCTTGTACAAGAACTCAACCGAACTTTGACAACAGCAACTTTTTCAGTAGTGTTTGCATCAGAAAATCCCTTATTTTTAGTATTCTGGACAATGTCTTTGACACTAGGTCACAAAGTCCAATTTTCCTATTGGGGCTGTGGTCTCTTGGTGGTTAAGGAAGCGGACTTGGGTTCGCAGAATTTCAGGTTCAAGTCCAGCAGCTGCCAAGTTACCACTGAGGTGCTCTGAGCATGGCAGTGTCCCCACACACTGCTCCCCCTTAAAGCTGCCCACTGTTCACTTTGGTGATGGGTTAAAGCAGAGGTCACATTTCGTTGTGTGCTGTGTCACAAGGACGTAGTTCACTTTTCTTTTTTTTCTTTCCTTTAAGTGTCATCAATGCTGTCATTGTTAAAATGTTGTAATATGTTTGTTAATGAGTGTATCTGTAATCAATTTCCACTTCTAACACCTGGGCCAGCATGTCTTTGAATACAAACAACCAAAGCACTACTCGGTGGCTGTCTTTGGCTTCTGTACAAGTTTCCAGAATCAAATATTCCTGTCTTAGCTTCCAACTCATTTAAAAGTTGCTACAGCCTTAACTTGGAGAACATTGACCTGGATGAATTACATTCCACTCACATAGCCTTTAAAAAGGGCCGGCTTTGACTGAACGAATGCAGTTGCATCTCACCCATTCCATTTTTCGCCATTGTAACAGAACAGGCTGTTTTGATGACTAAGCACCCTTCTCAAAGACATACTTAATGACCTTAATTGAATTAATGGCCACTGTTATGAATGAAATATGGTGACTTGTTCCCAAACTGACAGCATGGAATGAGCCAGCTAACGATGATGTGTGTCACGCACGCACACACTCCCGCTGTACATGGCTCATCCCCCTGACTGCTTTGCCCTTGAATTTGAGGGCCTGACCCCATTCAGCAAGGCCGTTATCCATCTGTCCAATGGAAGGGCAGCAGGAGAGCTTTGGGAATATTGAGAGTCAATGTGAATATTGTGTCCTTGCTTCTTAAGTGTACTGTACTTCACCATGAATATCAATCAAAATATAATAATGTCACGTTAAGGTGAATAAATGTTCTATTAGTAACTGTTGAGGAACTGGAAAATACATGGAAGGTCCATATGTGAATTGATGTGAATCTATTTTGATAATGATACAAATCAGTTTTCTGTCAGTGTAACTTTTTTGAGAAGTGTGATGTGAGTTTCATAATGGAGAAAATTTAAGTTGGCAAGTTGTCTCCGTGGTGAAGTAGAGTGATTATTCCTAAAATAACCCAGCACTTAAAAGAACAGTGTTTTGACAGACGGGGGACGGGGATAAAGGCCCATTTATGCACCACTAAGGTATGTAAACAGGTACATCTGTTTTCGTCACTACCCATATACTGCCCGCTGTGCCTTATATTCAAAATGGTTGTTAAGAAATGCGTCTACTAAGGGGTAGTCTTGAATCCAGTCTTTACTATACTGTACAAAGTTTTCTTTTCCTTGGCTTTTTTGTTGTTCTGTCCTTGTCTTCCTTTTCCTTATACATGTGCATGTGAGCTCTGTTGCCCCCCCCCTTCACAAAATTCAGTGGTACTGCTCATACTCATGTCTTGGGGTATGCATTTGTGAGCTTCCCTAAAACATACCCAATTTGCATGTGATGAACACAGAAAACGGACAGAAGACTCTGTGCTTAAACTAGCATTAAGTAACTTTATGGTAAATGTGTCGTCTAAGGACACACAGGAATGAAGATGAATTTGAACCCAAACCTTCTATGTGGGCGTCCAAATCAACTAAATGACCTACGGTTTAATTTTATATATTTCACCAAATAATTGTTTTCTTTTATTTTAGATAGACATTTTTAATATTTATAACTATTTTAGCATTTTAAACATTGGGCATTGCATATGTGAGAGATGACTTTCCCATTGACAAAGTCACAAAACTTTTGAGCTTGCCTCAGGAGGATTTCCCAAGATGCGTTTGCATCTGCCCGCGAGCCCAGGGTTTGACAAACCAAATGTCCTAGTACATGGGTAAAGGTCTGTCAAAGAGGGAGTGAATCAGTGTGGTCTAAAGGGACCAATAATTGTTGGCAAGTGTGACCAATATGGGCCAACATTGCCCCCAATAATCCCAGAAGTACTTCTGCTAGAGGCATGCATCCAAAAGCTCCCAGGAGGTTTAACAAAATTTGTTCTTTAACCAATGCACAAGAGGGTCAAGTTTCCATATACATGATTAGTTTGTAGCATAATCTAGTGTTAAAGTGTGCACAGCATCACTTTTATTTTAATTTTTATTCATTTTCTTTTTTATCTTTCCTTGTTTTTACAGAGGAGGAGTACAAACGTCTGAGTGAAGCTTTAGCAGATGAAGGCTCCTACACCGCAGTGGGCTACAAATACACAGCGGACTACTACGACCCATCACAGCCTACAGAAGAAGAGGATGCAAAGAGAGAAGCAGGTTAGATGTTTATTGTTTATGTAGGAGTATTGCATATTATCATGAAATGAAGCACTTTTGTAAGTACTGAAACTGGGAAATGATAGAAACGTGAGAAAATTGCATGAGTATTATATATTGTTGTCACCGTTTTTTGAATGCACTACTAAAATGCATCTTTATGCCTCAGTTTATTTAATATAAATTGGATGATTTATATCAGTTAGTGAATAAAATCTAATTCAATTAGATCATGGCATAATAATTCACCTTAATAGGTGTAAAGGAAGCAAATTTAAAACAGTAACTTCCTTGTTTAAACCCTAATGGCTGTGTGAAGAGATTCTCCTGGTGTTGCTCTTCTTTTCTACTCTACTCTATGTTTCTTTCCTTAAAACAATATCATTTCAGCAGTGGCCTAACAACCCTGCTCTGTCTCGTCTGTCTTTTACAACTTCCTCGTGCTTGGCTCAGTGCAGGCTTTGGATTTTAGCAGCATGAATTATTTTGCTGCTGCAGTCCACTGTGAAGCACCACAGTTTTACCCACATTCTCTTCTAATCCTTAAAAACATCTGCAGGGGCACAGCATTCGCAGAGATGACAAGGTGGAGTTTCTGTCTTTACATTAAATGGACAAATATGTTGACAATATTTTTAAATCTGCTATTTAAACAAAAGATAACTTACTGTCGGTGTGTTTATGATCGCAGTACAAATCACAATGGTTTGACAGCCCTTTTTCTTTTTTTTTTCAAGAACCGCATTGACTTCATTTATTCATAACATTTCCCTAACTTTAACAGTTAGCTGTTAATGCCTTAAAGCTGAAACATACTCTGCAAGAACCGAGAAATTTGTTTTCTCTCCCAGAGCAGTGAGGGGAAAAAAATTCTGCAGCCCCAATTTGTGAATTCTCACTGCTTGCCCTTTTTACACCTGGTGGAAAAATATCTTCCTTGTGTGGTTAACTGTGGTCATATAAATTGGTTTAGAGGTAAAACAATTAATTACATATTTTGCTTGAATTGTTTTGAACGATTATTGGTTGTCTCCAGTGAAAGTTTTGTTTCATTCATTTCACTGAAGCTGTTGGTTATGTACTGTAGCTGTGTTTTACACAGATGCTAATCGTAAAATGATGCCAGGTTCTCCACAAACGACATGCTGTAGAGCAGGGACAGCAAACTCAGTCACTCAACACTGTTGTTTATGTTGTGGACCAAACAGGCTTAGCATTTTTTTAACAGTCTAGTGTGACACCTGTCCCTTTCCTGAGTAAAATAAATAAAAAATTGTCAGTGACTCAAAATAACAAAATGGGTGTTTCATATTAAGACCACATTATCCTTCCGCATTGGAGACAAGAACCCCTTCCTGATCCCCCTGTACCTTGTGCCTCGTCCATTCATCATCATCTGATTAGAATTGGAATTTGCAGAGCAAATGTATTCCAGCAACATCAGCACCATCAGAATGTTTATAGGATGCATTGTTTCAAATTGTTTTTTACTTTCTTTTTCATTTTATCTAATCTAATAAAAAAAAAATTGACAAATGAATTGATAACAAAAAAGAATCTCCTCTTGTTTAACTATAAACATGTTGCTACACCCATTCTCACCATGCTGTCACCATATCATTGTTTCTGTAAAATTCCTGCAATTTTTCCCAACATAGTCCTATGTGGGCTTCCCAGTAATCCAAATCAACCCTAAAAAATCCTTTGCTGACAACAAATACAGCATGTACATACTGTCGACCCTCCACATACACTGACCAAAGAGAGAGACACTTTAAATATTTGATGTAGACCTTTATGGAGACATTTTTCCCAGCCAGTCTCCTAACAGTTCAGCAATCTACATGTCTCTCTCTGGGGAGCTGGTTGCAGTGAGTCAGTGACATGAATGCATTTACCAAACTTCCCAAATGCCGACAGATGTTATTCTGAAAAGTGAAGTGAGTCCAGCTCACCTCACACTGGCCGTTGACATTTTCAGCTACTTTCTATTAAAGACATTCCGTGTCTTAGGGTTTTCTCTGTTATTGGCTGTTATTGGCTGTGCTTTGCAGGCTTTGACAGAGTCACATTTTCATATACTGAATATGATAAAGCCCTGACACATCATGCTTGGACAGATAGACAACATGACCATTTGCTCACTGCTGTTATTTATATCTGAGCAATTGGTACGAGGAAGGTATTGGTCTTAATTCAAAATACAGGAGGTCCTCGGTTTATGACATGCTAGAACCACAGCATTTGATGGTTACGTTGCCATCGCCCATAAATTAAGAAAGTCTTGTTCCATCTTTCTTCCGTACAGCATTTTGCATGAGTTTTGCATGAGAAGTAGTTGGCGAGCAGATTGGACGAATACATCTTCTCACTGTGCTATATGTGAAATATGTATCTTTTACAATCATCAGTGGTATGCCATCCATTGGGCTGTGCTACATTTGCTTTCTTTCATTTGTGTTGTTTTTTGCCCTTTATTATGGCTCCCAGGTGCAAGTCAGAGGCATCCTGGCTTCTTGCTCAGTACACAGCCATAGGCATAGGTATTTATGTACAGTATGTGAGTTCTGACTTACGGCAAAAGTCAAGTTATGTTTTGCTGTAGGATCGGAATTGGATGTTGAGTAATTTTTTGTATTGGTTGTCATTCATTGAACATTCGTAAATAACATCCTTTTGTCACCATGCCTGTGGATAAGGATACTGATGGTGAGGTAAACAAAGTAGTCGGAGTAGAGTTCTGACAAATCCCAATTGCAAACAAGTAAGGTCAGCATCGCATTCACTGTCTTAGGAAAAAGATCTTTTCCCGCAGAGTTTCTACATTATATTATTAATGTGTGGATACATTTTCATGAGTTTTACTCTCTTTATTGGAAGGATTGTCACTGGGCTGACTGTGATGCATTTATACATTATTTGATATTTGATTACATTTAGGCCTTTTGCCATTTCAGCATTTTTTAAAAAGAACTTCTAATTAATCTTGTGTTTCTGCTTCGCTGGTGATTTTTCCAGCAGAGTTTATTTTTCTTTTCTGTCATAAATGGCTTACAGAGGGTTTATCTCATTCATTTGATCCAAATGTCTGATCTCATGCACAGACGAAGCAGAACCTGAGGAGAGTGAGGAGCCGTTTGTTGCTCCCACAGGGCTGGACATCCCCCCTGATGTGGAACTGGTGAGTCATTTTTTCACCACAGTATCACTAATCTATGTGCTTTATCTCAAACTTTTAAACAACCTTTTTAAGAAGATGGATTATCCAAGTGTTGACATAGTAACATCCCATATCTGTAACTTTTTTTTGCTGTTTATTTTGTCTCTTAGTGCTTATAAAATGGTGTCACATTAGCAACTTTTACCAGTTTACTTTATTTCATGTCTCGCATAAGAAAGCATGTATAAATAATCACTTCTAACTTTTCTTTTCTACTATTGTTGCCACAGTAGGTTGTATGGTTATTTTCTTAACTGTATACTCTGATACTAGGGATGTTTGATATTGACTTTTTGCCAATATCTGATATTCCGATATTGTCCAAACACTTAATTTCCGATTCAGATATCCACCGATACCGATATAGCGGGAGCTTGAAGCGGTTTGCGCTCACACTAGTCCTAAAATCTTCACTTTAGGAGGCAGTTGCATTTAGGCTCAGTACAATGGCCCTAGTGTGAGCCAACGCTATGCCCAATGCTAAGTATGCATGCTATAGAGCTTGCAAATGTTTTGCCAATGCATGAAGGGGAGCAGTATGACTCACGTGTGCTCACAAAAGGCACAGCATAAAAAAGAACAACAGAACAATAACAGAAATGGTGGAACCAGGAAGAAGATATTTTTGTCTAAATGCCGTGCCGTATGTTATAGCCACACAGACCACCAGTGTCTCACTGACTCTGTTTGGAACTCTCTCTGAGCAGGAACATTAACAAGATCTCCAACTGACATCAGCCTAGAAACAAACTCTGAATTCAGTGTGAATGGACTTGAGTGAATGTTTAAGAATTGTTTTAAACTCAAGGCATGCATCCAAATATTTGAGCATTTCAATCAGATGTACCTATTTATGTATGTAAAGGGAGCATTTACGATGCTTTATACCCAAGGTAGGTTGAATGTTAAAATGCCAAAGACTTCTTCGTCTTAAGACACTTATTTTAATTTACCAAGGTTTTTGGAGTGTCATTATCTGTACTTATGAAATGTGAGGTCAAAATGTTTTATATGCTTCCAAACAACGACGCTGTGAATAACTCTGCTGCTGAGTTACCAGTGTGAGACAGGGTGCTTTGTTTCTGTAAATCACATCCACATAAAAGAAGCATCACACAGCCAATTTTCCACTAATGGCTAAGTTTTTTAAATGGCTCAACAAGAGTCCTTGGGTGTCAAGAACTCTTCTCTAGCTTAGAATACAATATTAGTCCGTTAAGATTGGACGCCGGCATCCTTTTGGCTAATGTCTTGAGAGGTGCTATTTATTACCACTTTCATCTTGGTGAGATATGTGTGTTCTGTCTGAGATTGCTGCACTCGTCTGTACTTCGGAGGTAATGGTAAGGATTAATCACTGGAAGCACACAAGGGGAACAATAATGAATGAATAATGGACAATTTCTTGTTCCATTGATTTCCACCCCATGCGAATTTTCAAAATTAATCTCATTACAATGAACATTAGAGACTTTGGCATGAAAATACTCTGAAGACAAAATGGCCTCTCTATATTGTCTCAGCCATTCATAAACTGTGGACCACGTCCTGATGTTATGACAAGCAGAAGGCGCCCATCGACTCATTTCCCCTCGGATAATGCTTATAATAAAATGACCGTTTATGTGTTGGTGGACAAGTAATTTTGGATCTAGATGCTGCAGTGAAGCAGGCTGAGCATCAATAGCTTAATGTGCACAAATACGTTATGTTAACGTATTCTTGTGGATAAGTTTGGTCCTTTTCAAATCTTTTTGAGATATTTTATCTTAATGCTTTTACACTAATCATACAATGTCTTCCATTTGATACATGTTTTTACAATATTGGTAAAATAATGCTCTCTGTCTCCAACAACTTTGTCATCAGTAGGTTGTCCAGAGCCAAATGTGTTCTAGACTTATCTTTGGACTGCGATTTGTCTTTTTGTTTATTCAATTGAATGTTTACTTTATTAGAACACTATTTTAAGTATTTCTGATTGAGATTTATTGTTATAGTGACATTTTATAATCAAAAGAAATTCATGGTAATGTTTTGTGGTATCTTTTGCACAATTCTATTAATGGATTCACTATTTGATTTAATTTCTTTAAGATTTATGTGATCTTTCTTTTTTTTTTAAATATGTAGTGCATATTGTAGTAAATGAAATACGTTGGTGTACATTTGGGGGAAAATCATTGTGTTTTTAAAAGTATTTGAGACATTTTTGTGACATTATTTATTATGGTCCATGTGGTTTGGATAAAATTTGTGACAACCCTTTACTAACTTTGTCTTGCAGCCAGCAACCGTTAAGACCCATAACATCATCGAGAGGACAGCCAGCTTTGTGTGTCAGCAGGGGATCCAGTTTGAGATCGTGCTAAAAACCAAACAGGCCAGCAATTCCCAGTTTGACTTTTTGCGCTTTGACCATTATCTCAATCCTTATTACAAACACATCCTGCGGGCCATGAAGGATGGTCGATACAACCTTGCCTCCACCAAGAAGCAGGAGGAGTCTCAGGGTGAGTTAAGGAGAGCAGTCACTGAATCTTCAGCTGAACTACACCTTCATGGGCATTGTATTTTTTAACATAAAATATTCGACAACACAGGAATAATTTGCATTGGATTTATTGTTGTCCTATTGTAGAGCAAACCTCTGATGATTCAGATGACGACGGAGATGGGAACTACCTTCATCCCAGTCTGTTTGCTCCTAAAAAGTGCTCTCGTCTGGAGGAACTGGTTAAGGTAAGAACATATAGTTTGAGGATTCACCAAAAAAGTACCTCTCGTTTGTTTGTGAGCGTCTGATTTGTTGTGGAAATGTCATGACATTGCTGTACAGTCATGCTAATTATATTTCTATAACATCATGACTGTCCATCACTCTTTAAAAGTTCAAATCCTGTTGCAGTTCATTCATTTGGTTTGCCAACGACCAACATTGCAAATTTTAAGATGCAATATTGCCACAATTAAGCCAAATCATCAGAGGTAGCAGATGAGTTGAGCTCTGTTGCTCGTCCAAGCTGGCATCTAAAAGTGAAAAAACAAACAAACAAACAAACAAACCAAAAGCAGTGTAGTCTTATCTTCCTTCACTGTTTACCAAACTCTTAGTGTGCTGATCTCACTCAATGCATCTAGTGCATGTTCTTCTGGCTAGCAAGTAACTTTAGGGTGCATTACTGCCATCTATAGGCTGATGTGTGTGCATTACTGTTGTTAGTGTGCCATGAATTAGAGAACTAATATAGGTTCAATTAAATGTGTAATCATACTATAATTATTGAATAAAAATGTTGGCATATCAACCCTTGTAAGGTGTGATAGTAGAAGGAAGACCATAATTGGAGTACTATAACCTTGAGATACCAGAAACACAAAGCCCTTCCTGGCCATCCTTGTCTGAAATTCCTGTTTTTCAGACAAAACTAAATGGTGTGAAATACTATTCTTACCTGACAGGTCCTGTTGTTGTCTTTTTGCAGCCTCTTAAAGTCATAGACCCTGACCACCCTCTGGCTGCTCTTGTACGAAAAGCACAGCAGGAAAGAAATGGCATGGCCGTGGTTGAAAACAAGCCAGAGGAAGTAACAGAGCCAGCTGCACCCACCACACAGGCACATTACACAGCTGAACGTGAGTACCCTGCCGTTTATGTCTGGGTTTTTATTTTGACCCTGATCTGGTCTGGTCTGGTCTGGTCTAGTCTAGTCTAGTCTAGTCTAGTCTAGTCTAGTGTAGTTTAGTCAAGTCAGGTCAGGTGTTTCCCTCTACATCTTTACTTTGTCACTTTTTCTTTTCTTCTGTCTTCCACTATGCACACACTTGTTCTGATAGTCATGGAGTTGCAGGTTGTTACATTTACCTTCTGACTTCTAATGTTGACATGTTTGAGAAGCTAATATTCTGGATTTTACTTTATAACAATGCTCCCTGTTTAGCTTTTTGGTAACCATTTTGAAATTAAGGATTTCAAAATGTGAAAATCGACCAAAACATTAGTAGTTGTGCGAAATGGAGTGGATTAATTTTTTTTTCTTCTTAAACTGAAATTCAAGTTCTTTGTACTTAAATCCACCTTCCTAATAGGAAAACCTCAATAGCCAAACATTAAATGGAGTTCAGTAGGGTTACTCACTTGTTCAAAGTTTTATGGCAATATTTTTAAAGCACTCTACATCTAATTCCTCCTGCTTTTACATGTAGTAGGTAATGATAGAAAATATGCCTGAGTGTGAGCACATAAAAAAAGCACTTGATCCTCTTGTACTTGTTCGCTGCTGTTTTGACACAAATTACATTTTTATGAGTTGCTACTTGGGAAAATCTCAGAGAATGAGAAACACCAAGACTATATAATTGTTTGGTTCTTGTCATATTTCGATCATATTTTTCCCAGCATGAAGTTTTTAAGACTGTGTGATAATGACATCATTTGAATGAATGAAATGAAACCATGGCAACTCATGTGGGGGGAAAATGCATTGCTTATGTGCATACCTAATAGGAGTATTAATTTATTAAAGCTGCCGTCTACCGCCCACCCCCTCTAGCCACTTCCCTGCAGGTTAAACCATTCAAACGTATGGTTAGTTTACAATTTGGAATATAAATTGTAATTATTTTATTGATATAATATTAATATAAATTAATTACATAAAATATTGCACTTTTGTTTAACTTTAAACCCCCTATTCTCTCCTTCTTGTTTCTAATGTGTTAAATGATTGTATTCACTTTGCTGTGACCCTTCATGTTTTTCTGTTCCATGAACTGTCCTGCTCCTCTGCTCCTCTCCGTGCTCCATCGTTTAAATTAAGGGTTTAGGTACAAATATAAAGCCACAAAAGGGAAGCTTTGTTCTTTACAAAGCCACATAATTTTCTTGTCATTACAAAATCTGCCTCTGGTCATTATGGAAATATGATATATAAAAACAGTAAGTGAAGCAGAGCCATTCATCAATGAATTAAAAAAAACCCCATACAGGTCAGTTACTAATGCACATCTGTACATTCATCCACATATGATGTAAATACTTAGTGTGAACGCAAATGTTTGTCATCTTAAGTAACTCTTTTTAGTAACATTTTTAATATTTTCTTTTTACATAAAATTCTATAGCAATGTATTATGGCTACTACATGCTCCCTGACGGAACGTACTGCATGGCCCCGCCGCCCCCCGGGGTAGATGCAAACTCCTACTACAGCAACAGCGTGTCCTCAGCCACGGTGACGGCTCCCTCTACTGCTGCTGGAGTTTTGCCTAATGCAGGCACCACAGTCGCCCCCCCTGAGACTGTCACCCCCACACCACAATCTACAGCTTCCTCTCAGGTCACCGCTTCTGCTGCTCCAACGAGTGCTGTTGAAACAAGGTAGGACGTGATTTATTAGCCACAACAGGATTTCTGGCATTTCCTTATGGTGTTTTAGGTTTCCAACAAAATAGAAAATATCAGTAGAATGAATCATTTGTGATGAGCTTTTGTCAGTGTAATGAGGCCTTATGTAATGTGTGAGTGTCCATCTTCTGTTTATATGTTAAAAGAAGTGGGATGCTGTATCTTCTGTGTAAGGTCTCTGGAAGCATGGATTTAGTTCTAACTATGATTTCTTTATATGATACATACATATGTGTGTATATCTTTATATGTATATATATCTTTATATATGTACACATATATATACATGTATTAAAATCTGATGTTCTGATATATTATTGATTTAATTATTTCTAAGTCCAATTCTAAGAATTTTTCAGTCTAAATAATTTTGATCGAATTATGCATTTTTGTGGAAAAAAAATTAATTCACATTAATTTTGATTTATAACTATAATGTTAATTTTTCATCTATCTTTTACATTTACAGACTAATAAAACCCCACTGTGAAATTACAGCTATTATAGTAAACATTTAAAGACTTTTTTTCACTCTGAACCCTGTCATCGGGTCTTTAGTGGGCTAAATACAGTGTTTGTCTCTACCTGATTGTTGTTGCTAACTTTAACCTTCAATGCCGGTCTGTCCAGACATAATCTGGACAAGTTGCTATGACGAAGGTGACCATAATATCTCATCAGAGATTCTTTCTGATTCTTGATGAGATATTAATGTAATTACCTAACCTGATAAATCTGCCTTTAACATCTCATAATTCTCTTGAATACAGTTCCAAAAACAAAGCTCAGCCAAGCTCAACACAAGTGGCTGCAGCTATCATCCCTCCGCCCCCTGACCTCCAGCCAGTCATCGACAAACTGGCTGAGTACGTCGCAAGGAATGGCCTAAAGTTTGAGGCCAGTGTCCGTGCCAAGAACGATCCACGGTAAGCCCTCTCACACAGAATCTGTTGGCCACTATGGAGAAATGTGTCTTTATGTAGTGCACAGTCTATTTTCCTGATTATTCAACTTTGTGTTTGTGCATCTATCTTTCTAGATTTGAATTTCTCCAGTCCTGGCATCAGCACAACACTTATTATGAGTTCAAGAAAAATTACTTCTTGCAAAAGGAAGGAAAAGCATGTGCTGAGGTAATAAATGTTTTTTTTTTCTAGTACAAGGGCATTCCAAAGGTGTTCTGTCAATTCAATCAAATGTAGGATTTAGACAGCTGGATTAAACTGAGCATCACCCCTGCCTTCGTTTTTTAAGTGTGGCCAACACGAGAAGTTTAATCTTAGAATCTCAGGGATGCTGAAGTTAAAGTACATTCAATTCGTTTTTTAAGTGTGGCCAACACGAGCAGTTTAAGGACCAGTGGGCATCTCCAGGCAAAATATATAGTACCTTCATCCTTATATTTCAAATACAGATATTGATGTTACTGCCTGTACTTATTTATGAGGTTCTTTACTTTATTGATGAAGGTTCCTCCTGGTTATCACAGTTTCATCCTCTGGAAAACCAATCCTTTAGATCCCTGCATTAATATCTTAACACCCAGTGTCTTCATGCCGAGGAACGTGTACAGATTTGCCTCTGTGGGTTCCAGTCACTTGTTAATACTGTTAAGGAAAAAGTGCATATAGAGCATTTGAAGTAAATGGCAGACACTGTTTTGGCACTAGTTGTAAGAAAATCAATAAGCGTGTACGAAATCAGCAGAAATTTGTTGCACAAATAAGCTGCAGTGAACACAAACATCAGCAACCAGGCACAGGTAGAAGAAATACTGTTTTCGCCTGTCGTTATACTCAACATTTTTTGCTCCTGTATGTGACTGTGTGCTTGTAGCTGGAGTAGAAACAGGGTTTTCTGAGCATTGACTGCATGAAGTCAACCTTGAAATTAACTCCATTTCAATTTTGATGTTTCTCAGCCTACTTTTCCATAAGTAGAATTTGCCTAATTATAAAAAAGTTTAAATTGATAAAAGTGAGCCGAGATTAAAACAAGAAATTATTATATGGAAAACCAGTCAATAATCAGTGTGGACTCAAAATAAAACCCAAGGAAGAAAACAGAAAAGGGGAAATCCTCCTTTACCTGACTGATCCTAAACTAAAAAGTTTGCTTCATTTCACTCCTTCAGAGTTTTCAACTTTGTTTACAAATGATGAGTAAGTTATAAGTAAGTTCTTTGTTAGCCTAATTTTTAAGTACATTCAATTTTTAAAAATTGCAGAGCCACTATTTGTGTCTCATTTCCTGAACGAATTCAATCTCCTACAGATGTGTCACTTGTTGTTAAACTCATTTTGTGCCCCCCAAAAATTGCAGATCTTCTTAGACTACTTAAAAAATGAGACTGGTGGCTGGTCAGGGTCCCAGTGGCACACACAGATTATATTAACACAGGGCTAAACTAAGGATGTTGAAGTTTGGTCTGGTCTGAAGTTGGTCTAAGGACACTGCAGAGCATACAGATTTGACCAAGTTAAAGAGCTGTCAAAATGAACACAGTGACACTTAAGGTCAGACATGTGTCAGAGCAGCCTGACTGAGATCAGCACAGTCAGACACAATTGTCAGCTGGATTGTTCGCGACTGTAGACTGATTAGTATTATTAAAGACCAACTGGACTGAAGTTTAGAAAGAAATTCTTCACACATTCTACAAGAAACCGTCAAGATAAACAGTAATGACTGAACTACACCAACTCTGTTATATTAATAATTCTATCATTTGGATTAGTCAGTCAGAAAAACAGGTGTGGAACTGTCTGCTTGATGTAGATTTGTTTTTCTATTCCAGTAATATACATATTTTTTTTTAGATAAAGGAATCTTAATTGTGAGTAATTATGACCATGATTAATTGTGAATAATCCACGCTGTGATTAATTATATTGAAATTTTTATTATTTGAGAGCACCACACAGTTTTCTTAGTCAACTTTATGACACTGAGTAACAGGGCAACAAAACTATAAGACAAATGTTGTGCTTGTCACTAAGTAAATAACCACATGAGGTTGCAGACCTACCTGTTAGTTGAATGAGAATGAGGGAATAAGAGGTGGGACCTTTCTTGAGCGTGACATAGTTGTGGTCGATGTGAAAATCAGGCATAATACCATAAAATCAAGATCTTTGTCATCAGTCTCTGATACTAAGTTTCCATCTGGTCTGCTCTCAGATATAATTGAAAATAAATGTGTCGCTGCTTCTTTTCACATCTAAGTTCTGACAGTCATTAAATTCTGTGATGTAGATTGAAGTAGCCTTACAAAACCCCTTACTCAGTATTAAGTTTCAAAGAAACTTGCAAGTAAAGAACAAAAAAAAGTAATGACTGACAAGACTGTCTGTGTTCTGTAAAGTTAATGTCAACAGAACACTGAATGATATTCCCACTTAAAAAAGTATTTGAAACCTTATTTTTGAAGGATTATTCCAGAAATTAAATTATTTATTTCTATTAATTCAACAGTACCAACTAATGAAAAATATGAACCTCAACTTTAAAAGCTATTCAGGAAAGGCAAAAATAAAATCCACTTCATACTACATTTCAACTCTCCAAATGTAATACATTTGAAACATTGTGTTAAATTGGTGCATTTAAATACTAAACTGTTTCAAAGTATCCAATTGGACCATCATCTGTTTTTCAAATGAGGATGAATACTAATTGGACCTGTTTTTCAAATGAGGATGAATACTAAAAATAATAGGTCCAATGCTGCATTTTCTTAGTATGTAATGATACTCAAAGTCATTTCACAGGTATTGTTTACATATTTGTTGCCAAGTGGTTGAAAACTTTTGATTAAAAAGATGGGTGGAGAACCAGTGAGTGAATGAATGAGTACGATTGTGATTTCGAGTTAGTGTGAGAGTGAATTGCATTAAACATTGTGGTGTACATGAATCAGAAAAAAGGCAAAATCCACAAAAGATCTGATATTGGCCTACTGTACTTGAAGGGATCTGCAGAGAACAAGAAGAGAGAGTAAATCCTCAAATCCAAATCACACCAAAGAAGATTTGTGCCCGTTTCTACTGCCAAATGCTTCATCTGGGCCCCGGGTAAAGGCTGTGAGTGCCCTGAGAGCACTGTATGTATGGGCACTTGAATATATTCAAGGTTTGTTGAGTTTGCTCTGTGCCAGAATGAAAAATGAAAATGCAAGGAGTTATGGCAAAGAACAATCTGTCATCTTATGAATCAAATACATTAGCCTGTCACAGTGCAGAGGAGAGTGGCCCCGTTATGACACAGCCTCGGCTGCTCCGACTAACAGCTGCTTTGCCTCCTATATCCCAAAAACAGTCTTTGTTTGTGAATAATAGGATGCAGATGTAATCTCTCTCAGTCAATGCTATTATTTATAGTTTCACCGTCAATGAAAAAGAGTGGCTTCCAGTAATTCGAACTGGAGATTGGCTGCATGTGTGGTGACTATTTTTGGTTTCATGTGACAGTGAAATTTGTTTAGAATGCTGGCCTTTACTTACAACTTCTTTCTCTAACTTTTTGATAATCTTTGGTCTCACTCTTGTAAAAAGCCTAGAGTGCCAATGGATAAAGCATGAACGTGTCGTTTGGTTTTGCAATCACTTAAAAATCTTCTTAATGTCTATGAAGATTTGGACAAGGATGTTCGAATGGCTTCCTACAAAGGCCACGCTTAAAAATAAAAGAATACCACATGGTTAAGTACTTCTTTATAACAATAAAATGGTAAAAAAAAACTAGTTTAAATAGCAGCCTACTTACATGAGAAATTCAGGAGGGATGTTAAAAAAAAAAAATAGGTATCCGTATCATGCTCCATAAATAAGAATAAAAAACGTTTTAATTTAACTACAAGTTCTGGAGAAAAGGCTAAAGTTAGCAAAAATCACCCTAGCCTTCAAACCAATATGACTTAAATATAGCCTTAAATATAGGTAATATCCAGTAGCTAAATCATTGATCGGACCCATCAGGAAGGTAACAGTACCTAACCACTGTGGAGAACTGTAGTTCCATAGTGTAGCGGTTATCACCCCTGCCTTACATGCAGAAAGTTCTGGTCTGAGCCCCAGGGGATCCACATATTTAACGGTGCTTCCTGTGGCAGCCTGTGTGGGTTGGAAAAACTCACTCCGCGAATTTCCCCCATTGTGGACAGACTAAGGGATACGAAAAAAAAAGCCAAAAGTATATTTTGTGCAGTGGCTAAAGTTTAGTTCAAGCCCTTAGAATTTTACATCAGTTGGCACTAAAAAATTAAATCAAAAAGTTTTTGATTGAGACTAAATGTCCAAAGCAAACAAATACTAGGGCAAAAATTAGTTTAGACTGAATTTTTATTTTTTTATTTTTTCCAAGGTACGGTTTTGAAGCTAATCTGAAAACAAAGAGATACAAATAACAAAAAGGAAAAACATGTCAAATTGATAGCTGAAGTGAACCAAAAGTTAACCCAATCTAAGCTGTACAAGACCTCTGCCAGTGTCTATACTTTTACTTTTGTCTTTCAACAACCTTTTTATGTGGGTTTTCTCGAGACATTTCTAAAATGAGTCTTGATTTATGTGGGGTTTTTTTTGGAATTTTATTCTCCAGTGTCTGTCTGTAAAGTGCTTTTGCTGAAAGCTCCGTTCAGCTGCAGCAAAAAACTAAGAATCTGCCTTAGAAGCATTCTTCAAGCGTGGTAAAATGAACTTAGTGAGGAAGTTTTTTTTTTTTCTTCTCTCCTTTCTTAGAATTTACCACTTCACTGCTTTTCTCTCCCTCATTCTGTCAGCATTTTATCTCGAGAATGGAAGTTAGAACACAGGTATAGCTACACAAGTTCTGGTGATCTGCACTGCATAGTCATGACAACCATAATTGGTCAGGGAAGGTACAGAAGCAAAAGGGAAGCAAGGAGCGAAAGCTTTGAAATGGCAAACTTGTTTCCAACAATTGTCCTTTTTTTTTTAACAAAGTCTGTTTTCCTTTTGATGAAAGAGTTGTTATTGTGTTGGATCAATGCAAAATAGAGATGGTGCTTTTTGTAAATGACTGTAATTTAAACTCTCCTTGTCATTCAAGTACAGAATGGTTTTTTTTTTTGTAATTTGAAATTTCAAATACTTCAATATGTTAATTCATACAAAACCTTTCTTAAAAATAGGTCTTTACATATTAGAGAGAAAGGTCATGATTACCAAAGCACGCTTGTCCATTAGTAAAATCCATTAGTCGTAGACTGAAGTAGAAATGGTGACAGTAATTTCTGACTGGGGCAATTATAATATTGTAAAATGTGATAGTTTTTGCTTCAGTTGTCTTTTTAACTTGGATTATAGAACAGTCTGTGATCTGGTGAGTTTTGTTTTTATCCATTAAGATGCCAAACGTTTCATATTTTTGTGTAAATGCTGTGATTGTCTCTCTTACTATCCTGCAGTCTTCGGTCTGTAGTTTTGTTTTACACTTCTGTTTTGTGGGTTCTACCCGAAACATGATAGGCTATATGATTTTAAATTACAACTGTTTAATGTTTAGTATATGTCGATACCAATATTAATCCGATGCCTTCCTTACTCCTCCAGCATGGTTGACTTTGTTGGCTTTTTCATTCTATCAACATCTACATGCTGTCATAGTGGAAACGTACAACTATATTGAAGGAAACACATTAGACTAAAGACTAAAATCAATTATGATAATTTGCTTGTAGTTTTCCCTCAGCAACATTCACAAGCACACCGCTTCAGAAATGTAAACCTTGACCGCGGCTGTCACCGCGCGGATGAATAATGACTGTGATTAAATATAACAGTTTAAGTGTCATTGAGAAATGACACTGATGCGTAAAAAGGGTTTGACTGGCTCAAACATTTAAAAGCTATCTCCGTTTAAAAAGAACTAATTGACAGTCAGCTTCGCCGAAATCTTGTTTTAAAACTTTTTCACATCAACTTTTTTGCACATATCGCTGCTCCGCTTCTTTCACATCATAAACGTCCATAATGTAGGAGATTAAACCAAGCAGCTTCCATCAGAATCTCATTTTCGGCGCCATCTGTCTCTTGTCAAAGTCCCACTGTTTTACTGGAGATGGGATTCATTAGACAACCTTTAAATTGTTTCTCCTCCAAAACAAACTCTGTTTCACTTATTTTAATGCCACAAGTAGAAAATTCTGTCTAGAATGTTTGAATTTTTTAAAAAAAAATTGTATATACATTCTTTTCTTGTCCTTCATGCAGAGTGGAGCAGAAGAAGGCGACGACAAGCTCCAGTCAGACATGATGGACGATGACTCCAAGCTGAGCAAAGGTAGGTGTCTGCTCTTACTGTTGTCTCCTTGGATTTACTGAGTATTTGAACCAGACGAAAAGTGTTTACCAAGTATTAAATGTGTACTATTCACTCTGATATGTGTGTGTGTGTGTGTGTGTGTGTGTGTGTGTGTATAGCAATGCTCGTGGGTAGAGGCAGGGGGGAGTTGGACCATTCTTAGTATAAAAATGTTAAATTCTTTTCAATTTTAATCTTTTATCAGTGTGTGTGTGTGAGAGAGAGAGATAGATATTCTGGTATACCTATACTTAGAGGGATACAAAAATATAATATAATATAATTAACCTTCCGTTAATAAAGATGATAAATACAGTTATTTTAATGTACAAATTAAAAAGCAAATATGTTAAAGAGTTTAAAGTTCAAAGAGTTGTATGATAATCTTTTTTCTGTACCTGTGTATGAGAGAAAGAGTGAGATATTCTGGTATAGCTGTACTTGTGGGGACATTTGAAAATAATACCTTTGATGTGAGAACACTTATTCCATTTGGGGTATTTTGTAGGTCCCCATTTGGTAATATGGTATTGTAGAATCCACAATTTAGTTTGGAATCAGGATTAGAGGTCTGGTCAGATTACAGTATATTTAGGGTAAGGGTACACACTGTAATAGTGAAGGTGAGGGAAAAAGAGGCCAGAAAAATCCTTTATGTCCAGTTCACAGGTTGTTTACGTCACATGCTGGTTCTTAAGTACAGCAGCATTTCCGTTGCTATTTATACCTGTAATTACATTTTGTGATCCGGGACTGGCAACGAGTGTGTGAAGACATGATAGAGTTGCTGACACACAGCCCTGTCTACAGCCATCAACACACACACACACACACACACACACACACACACACAAATGAAGACATGCATTCCTAACCAGACTCTTTGGAAGAACCTGGTCACGTTCCAGGCCTGGTTTAACCTGATAACACCCTGAACTATATAGTCTTTCTCAGTGACAATGGAGGTTCTATATTAAGGTTATTGCTCTGCAGAATGAGACGCACTTATCTCTGCTGGAGCTAATAAAGTTGAACACAAAAAAGAAGTCATTGTAACAGCCATGTTGTGCTGCTGAGTCATTAAAAAAGCCTTTGAGGGACATTCTTTGTTTGCCTTTCTGTCTCTGTCTTCACTGTTTTCAAGCCTGTTGTTTTTTTGTTTTGTTTTTTTTTTTTTTTGAGTAATGGTTTAATTTTTTTCATTTGTTCAAATAACCTCACTGGCCACTGAATTAGGTACACCCTTCTGGACTCAATTCTGATCTCCTTTTTGGTCATTGACACAGATTTGATTTGACCAGAACAAGACATTTACCTTCGTAATGACCCGATCTCCTACTACAATAGAATATTTATTGGCTTAAAATTTACAGTCTTATTTACATCTCTACTCAAAATGTGTTCTGATTAAAATAATCTAAATATATTTTATGTGATTAGCTAATTGGCATCATGCATTAATCTGTTGGGATCTGTGTTGTTTGATTGTTAACAATCGGTGATTAAATTGAGTTATGCTAACTTGTTAATATATGTGGTCTGTTAACTGTTAGATCAGGCTGGGTCGTTTTATTTGCCACATACTTAATGGTGCCTTCAGTGTCAGCCCGTGTGGGTTGCAAAGACTCAGACTGGAATTTTTCAATTGTGGGACAAATAAGGAACTAATTTTTTTAATATTGCACCATCAAAGAGTGAATGCATTTTTTAAATATATATATATACACAGTATATATATATATATTCATCTCACATAATGAAATATTTACTCACCTTGGACATTTCTGCCTCTATCTTGTTTTTGTTCAGAGGCTCTTGTAGCACTGACTCAGATGTGTGTCAGTGATGTGTGTGTGTATGAGATACACCAGTCGACAGTGAAATTGTTTAAACGAAAGATTGATTCACAAAAAATTGCATTGATTAATTTTGTTTGGTGAAAATAATTCTGTTATTCGACAGCAGTTTCCGCTCCAGTTTACCAATTTTTTTTTCATTGCCTCTAGGTCATCTGTCTTTTCATTCATGTGTTGTATTTTTAGAGAAGGTCGCCTGCTTCTACTTTCTGTAGTAAATTGCATTTTTCAAAATGCAACAGACAAAAACAACTCTTCCAAGCACAGTGTCACTCACATCCATATTTCCATCCTCTTTATTCCACTTTGACATTTGAATGCCATTAGCAGGTTGTTGTGATCATGTTGACACGTCTTCATGAATTTAGTCTCTCAGTAAGCAGTTTTACCTAATAAAGAGGCCAGTGAGTGTACTGGATCTGCTGCTGGTGAAGAAATGCACTGCTCAGAATTACTTGTGCTCATTATGAGTCACCATTTCTTTGCTTTCTTTTTTCCCTTTCTTTCCTCAGTCGCAGCCTCTTTCGCGCCCATCTCTTTTGCTATCAAGGCAAAGGAAAATGATTTACTCCCACTGGAAAAGAACAGAGTACGACTGGATGATGACTCAGATGAGGACAAGGTCTGGAATTTACTTTATTCAATGCAGTAAAAAAAGCATATGGATATAAAATAATTATAATAATAATGATTAAATAAATAACATTTTCTGAGCTCATAAAATTGGTTTGTTAAAAATCTAATAGCAACTGCTGGAGGAGGAAGCGCTGGCAGCTGTGATGGTGGGATCAGATGTGATTGACAAGGAATTGGTCCCGCCTAGTGTTCCGGAGGAGAAGAGACCCAGCCTCAGCTTGGAAGAGCTGGAGGCAAAACAAGGTAACATTGTCACAACGTGTTGTTGGAAAATGTTTTACCTAAAATATGTCATCTTCTGAATAAACTGCATTGTGAGGTTTAAATAATAACAATAATTACTAATAGCTTTTTGTCGAACCCAAAGACAAGAGTTACAGTTAAAAAATTATTATTATTAAATATATTTACGGAGAAAAAAAACCCACGCGCATCAGACACAGACATTAAATCAAGTTTTAAAGGTGGATTTGCAAAGGAAATTGAAAGGTGTCTGTGTAGAATGTGATGGACTGGGTGTTCCAGAGGGAGGGGCTAAAGCTAAAGACAGGGCTCTGATTTTGGAGATTTTCTTTCTTTTTCCATTTTAAACATCCAGACAATCATCTTCCTCTATCACTTTTTCATAATTGAAAGGATGTGATTACACTTGACATCTGTGTACAGTCATGAGACAGCCTATTTCTGTCCCTCTGTTTCACCTACTTTATTATTCTCTCCCTCTTTTTAATGACTTTAACGCTGGTGGTCAAAAATTTAAACATAAACTGCTGCTGTTAATCTATTGTAGTCTTTTGTTTGCAGTTATTGAGACAGAATATTATTTCCGGGATGTTGTAAGCGTTAAAGAAAAACTGAATACAGAATCATACAGACAAAGATCCATGCCCCACGTGCAGAGATTATTTTTACAGAAATCTCATGCATGAAAAACTAGAAACACCTCATTATTTTCAATGCTGTGTAAATTATTCATATTTTATGTATTAGGCTTTAATTAAAAGCCTCCCTCACTGGTAGCCAAATGCTTTTATAAATGAAAATGATTCCTTGCCTTTTGTTTTACTTTAACATTCTACTCTAAGCTATGCAGCTGCTCTCTGTGGACAGATTCACCATCGTCTCCATGCATGCATGTCTGAGTCATCAGACATTTGTAACAAACACAAAATATCCTTCACTTCATTATTAAAAGTAGCTTATACATTATTCAATTGTTTGTTTTGTTAACAAATCTTTGGCCTTACCTGCACGTATGCGCTGATATCTGATTGTGACGTACCAGAAAAATCCCAAAGTGCTTGACTGATAGAAAATAGGACAAACAAACCTACAATGACAAGAATGCTGTTTCTGCTGAGCTGTGTTCAAACCGGCTGTTACTGTCTAGGTCCAGTAGAAGTGGTACACAGGCCAATGGTCTCTCTCAGACTTAAAGGATGGTTGTACAAGAGGAGAGGAGAGGCCTTATAAATAGCAGAGTGAATTGGCTCTGCTGTGTGGCTAAGTGGTTGTCAGTCAGAAGACCTTCCCTGATCAGATTAGCCGCAGAATCAGTGGCAAACAGCAGAACACTAATCTGTGCCGATGGGCTGGAAAACAGCCACACACTGTAAATAAGTTTTCCAGCAGTCCTGAAAGTACACAGAGAGGGGCTTGTGCTGCAAACTTTTTCTATTGGTTGTTAAATAATCCTGAAACATGTTGGATTCAACATAGAAAATACACTGTAAATGTAGTTGGTGTTAAATTACATGTGAAAAACAACGCAGTAAATGTGTCTGCAAATTTTCAGAAGTTTTGAGTAGAATCATCAATTTTGTTCAGTGAGTCTCAACATTGGTGCGAATGGCTTCTACTCCACTTGGCTGTCAACCCTCTTGATAGTCTAATAAAATTTGCCTCAGCGATCGTGTCTATTTTTAAACCTGTAGAGATAAAAGTAACCCCCGGTGGTTGCATAACTTCAAAAAGTTGTTTTCTAAAGGCATTTTCTTATATTGTCTTGTCTCCTCTGTGCCCCGAGTCATTCCTTTGCTCTCCTAACCTCATCTCTCTCCTACCCACTTCTGTCACTTCACATCTTTGTCTCATCTCTCAGCAACTGCACAATGTCACAAAAATGTCTGCCTCCTCTTCTCCACACACATTTCTTCCAACTTTACTTACTCGTCTGTACCACGTGTGTCACCACAGTCACCCAGTGAGGGTCGTTCACAAATGTCTGTGCGAATACTAGACTTCCGAGTTCAAGTTGTGTCTTCAAGATTTTATTTAGGACTCAAACCATAGAAGGATTTGGGGATAACCCTAAATCACAAAGAAAACTGAAGGACCGGATTGAGTCCCTACAAGTCGAAACAGTCGATTTTCACAACAATTCCACTCCGTCAATTCCGAGTTGTTACAGCAAGTCCATGTGATTAAAAAATAATTATGTCAGTACACACTTCAGTTCTCATAATGTAGAATCCTAGGCAAATAATGTTGACAATCATGTCAAAGTTTTGATTCACATCATGTTTTGGCCATGTTTGGCAACAATTCAAGCATAACGTTTCCCTAAGACTTAGAAGAAGAGCTCAAGTAACCAACCAAATAACCATAGTCCATGCTATTTAATGTCTATGTCACTAGAAAATTATGATTTTTGTACACACCGAGTTCTTATCAGTTACTTTGACTTAAAGTTGGAATATGGACCACATATGTTTAACTCCGAGTTAATTTCTCAGTTCATTTCAAGTCAACAATGATAACTGTGATGTCATTAGAGGTCATTATACAATTCTAATGTAAAGTCAAGTCCAAGGCTTTCTAATAGCTAATAGATGTAATCCAAGGTTCCAACGTAAAATTTATGTGCATGAAATTTAAATTTCAAGTCATTAAAGAAAAATTACTCTAGCCCACTCAAAGTGAATCGGTTAAAAATCAATACAATTTCATGACAATTTGCATTGCTTGAAATACAAAATTAATCATGCTTATTCTTTATATTCTTTTGTTGTATAATATATTGGCAGTTAGCAGGGTGAAAAAGACCAGACCAGTTTGACTTTTAATAAGGGGAGATAAATGGTGATGTGCAGTGTTTCTGTAAATAAATTAGCATAATTTGGCTAATGGTTTTTACAAATGAAAAATCTTTTATCCGGTCATAATTTGTCTAGATGTCATTTTGTGTAAAAAAAAAAGAAAAGTAAAAAAGGATAAAATTAAATCATGAACAAAATATTGTGAATCCTATTGTACGTTTTCTGTATCGTTTCAACTCTAGTCACGTCAGTTACTGTGACCTTTAGTTTGTAAATCTGTCCACAGAGGTTTTAAGCTGTGTTCAGGTGAAGTCCAAGTCACTGAAGTCCAGGTAAAATCCCCAGGTCTTAAAGTCATAGACTAACTGACCTAAAATAAAGTTTAAGCTAAGTCTAGATCATTCCACGTATGTATCGTTATTTAATTGATAGTCAAAGTTAACGTGATCAAAACTTAAAGACAATGTGACTCAAGAATAGTTAAAAGTAAGTGAAACAATTTTGTTGTCCAGTCCAAGCATGATTCAGTCAGAAAAAGCACTGGATGTGACAAAGTATTTGAATTTCATTCTTTCTACAAATGCAGAAGACTGCTTTATTTTCTTCTCCAATCTTCTGTCTTTCCTGTCTTTTTTTCTTCCCACCATGACCACCATTTACTACGTACAAAGTACAAAACCAGCCACTACCACTTTTTGGATGGTAATTCAACCTTCCCTTCTTATTACCCTCAGCCAAGCAGAAACTGGAGGATCGTCTGGCAGCTGCAGCCAGGGAGAAGCTGGCCCAGGCGTCAAAGGAGTCAAAAGAAAAACAGCTACAGGCTGAGAGGAAGAGGAAGGCAACGCTGTTCCTCCAGACCCTGCGCACCCCCTCAGCTGGAGAGCCTGGGGCTAAGAGAGCGGAACTGGATCCTTCTGTGCAGCTCGAGGTGGGTGTTCGCCTGATAGTGTTAGGTCAGTGTTTGTCAGTGTGTCTTTTTGCCTGAAATGTTTGTGCACAATTGCATTTTCTTTATGACTGTGTTGCTGTTAATTTGCGTCACCAGAATTCAAAGGTCAAGTAAGGGTGAACAGAAATGGTTAGAACAGAATTACCACTGATATCAGTTGAAAGATAATTTTCTTTGTGAAATCTTCAACTTTTGTTAAAGGTTACGTCAAACTCCACATTGTAAAACAAATGTCACTGCGTCTGCATGATAATAGGGACAATTGTCCTTTTCATCCTATGTTTCCCAGGTGTACGACCACACGAGGAAATATCACTTTAAACACAAATGCCTCAACAGGCGTCATGTTTTGACAAATAATACGCTATAGGCAACTTCATATTAGCATTACAATTGTGACATAAATGACACATGTTCAACTCCTGTATATCAGCTATCAGAGGTTACAGGATACAGTGCTGCTGTTTGGAGATGGTACGTTTTGACTTAGTAGGAGGAATAAGGTTTAGACTCAGTTATGTTTGCGCACTAACGCCTTAGTTCTCGCTATAAGAACTGCACTGCTAGAAACAATATACATTTGCAGGAGCTGATGAGATGGAGTGAAGCATTATGTTGTTGCTGTTGGGAGTTTTAATTGGATTTGAAATTGTTTATTGCATTTCACTGATTGCAATAGAACATGTCCATGCACCAAGACCATTCTGCAAGTTGTAATTATTGTGTGAAATGCCAGTAGCTTAACGTGGATATGGAAACTGAACACCAATTTGTTTTCCTTATTAAAGAAAAGTAAGTCACCAGAAAATACTTTTTTTCTTTTTTTTATGATCACCGTATGTCTTTGAGCAGACATATTAGAGGTTATCTTCAATCCCCCCACCTTTTCCCTGTCATATCCAACAAGAACTACAGAGACAGGGAGCCCATGTTTATAGTGTAAATGAGACTCACTGATGTGTTTATTTGATGGCTGTTTATTTTAGGCTACTCAGCTGATGTTTATTAAACTGTCCTAATGCCCGTTGAACCACGTGGCTGTGTGCAGCCTAACGCGGGTTGCACCAGTTCTGTCCTTCCCCAGATTTAGCTCTGTCCATTGGCCGTCGGCCAATATCTCTGTCTGAAGGAACTGCCAACATTTAAGTCATTAACCTACTTTTGAATTACTAACTCAACCTAAATGCTAAGTTAGTGAAAATGGGAACTTCTCCCTACAACTGGTCAGTCTTCTACTGACAGAGTGAGCTCTCTGTCTTAACAAAGTGAGGCTGAAAAAACTGCATCTACTTTGCTAGCTTCTCAACAATGAACTGTACTAATATGCTGCCTTGTTAGACTATGATTACGTGTGACCCAGCCACTCGGCTTTTAGAAAACATGAGGACAGAATACTAATATATCTAATGGAAAGAAAGATGCTGCACCTAAACATTTTCTGAAAACAAAAAGGGAATTTGTTCCCTTAGAGTACTGTATGTTGTGGCTTACATTCCATTTAAGTGTTTAAAACCCAAATGTGGATTATACTCCCCCAAAGTCAATCCATGTAGTTCCTCGTAAAGATTACTTGATCTCCTACCTCCACATTAGGGCCAATTAATTTGTTAATTTTATCTAAAATGGCTTGTGTGTATATATGTATGTTTTATATGTGGTTTATATGTGGTGTGGCTTTAGTTCTGTGAAACACTGTTATACTGTGTATTAGCCTGTCTCTGGGGTAATTGTCATCATTACTTTTGTTTTGTTTAAAAGTATATTCTACGTCTTAGTCTTATTTTGTAACTCTCCTCTGGTAAAAGATGATAGGAGAGGTCATGTTGAAAGGAGACCGGTCTAGTAACAGCTTAAACAGGAACAAAGATTCCCTGATGTGTTTTTTATGGCTCCTCTGTGCCAGTCTTTTACAAACATCTGATGAAAAGAGTTGTGCTTTAAGTTTGCCTTGAAGGTTTCCAGAGGTCGGATCCAGACGTGTGAAGCTCAGAGGGATTTTAGGGATAGTAAGGTAATGAGCGTTCTGCTATCAGAGGGCAGGAGAGGGCTGAGAATCAATGTTAAAGTCAGATAAACAGGATACTGCAGGTCTGTAATGATTTGTTCAGCAGAAGGAATGCTCTGAAGAAGAGATTTCTCCTGAAGTGGAGGCCAGTCGAGGGAGTCTCTAAGAGCAGTGTGCATTTGGAATTCTCTAGTTATTTTACTGAGTTAGTATTTATCTAAAATACAGCTTAGCTTGTAAAATATGAGACTAAAAATGAGCAATTTCGTAATGACTGGCCTGAAATCTGAGAAAATGCTTAAATTTCAAACTGCGCTACTAAGATATGAAATATGCTTTTGATTAAGTACCGAAAAAGGTTTGAAATCTGCTGCCGTGTCTCTTCTGCAGACAAATTGCAGCACTGCTGCTTCCTCCACAGCTTTTTTAAGACACAGCAGTGAAATAAAGTTAGACTTAAAATAAAAAAAAAAGCTTTATCTGTGCTTCACATTCAACTTTTTCCAACCAGAGGTAACAAAAAACAAACAAAAAAACAAGCTCCAATGTAGGGTTGTAAAGATAAACAAAAATGAGTTGTTTTTTGTTGAAATGAATCCAGCTGAAATTTAGCTGAAAAAAGCTGAAAATCTCCTCAACGATATTTCAAAGTTCCTCATAATTTTACAGATTATATATTTTTATACAACCTATGCTTGTCTGCAAATTGTGATATATTATGAAGACTATGTCTGACATTCCTAAAATACCACGTATTTTTTTCATCCTTATCATGATAATACAGTTTTCTCCCTCCCTCTCTGCTACCCACCTTTTTCACCTCCGTCTCCCCCTGTCTGGCCCCAGGACTCTAACTTTTCCTATTATTGTCCAAACTTCCATATCTTGCCGGACCAGGTGTGAGGAGATACCCATTTTTCCGGGCTTAGTGTTGGAGTAAGCCTCCTATGTGTCAGTCCTACTTTTACACCCAACATTTCTTCCTATCATTCCATTATCTCCTCCGTGGCCCAGACCCAGATAGTGTGCGGAACACAGCGGGTGTAATATAGCTGACGTCATTCTCCACCACTGCCTGTTTTTCATGCAGCTACATCCCCTTCTCTCGTAAGCACTCGGCCCCCTTTCCTTTCATGCTTCCTGCTTCCTAGTCTACTCCATTTCTCCGCTCCTCACATTTTTTTTTGTCATTACATTCTCTCTCTGTCTATCTGTCTGTCTTTCTCTCTCTCTCCCTCTCTTCTTGCAATTTCCTATCTCTCGCTTCTGTGCCTTTAATGTTCCGCCCATTTCATCTGAGTTCTAGCAGATGGTTTGGGAAAGAGAGTGATTGAATTACAGAAACTAAAGTGTTGGTTTTAAATTGATTTTGTAGAGTTGCATTTTATTTGATTTTGGTTTACAGTATCATAAATGATAAACAGCAATGCCTAAGTGTTGCCCTTGAAACAATTATGCATTGGGGATGAAAAATGAAAAGTAAAACAATAACATTTAAATATGAATTATATAAATATTAATGTTATATTTAGTGTAATACAATATAAATATAACTGCTACTCGTGAATATTGTTCAACCTGCAGTGCAGTATCGAGTGCTAGCATTGGGTGAGATTATTAGACATACATTCACTATAACACTAAGTTATAATATGATTTACATTTTTTGTTCACAATACCATTTTATCACGATTTAATTTTGAAAGTCCTTAAAAAGTGCTTGAATTTGACTATGAAAACTGTACGAACCCTGAGTTGAGAAGTGAAGGTGTTCCTGGAAAAAACTTTTTTTTCCCTGTTTTTGTCAAACATTGGCCCTTTCTGTAAACAAATAATACAGCTCAGCCCAGTCATTAGAGAAGTGTCATGGGTATCACTGCAAGAAACAAAAAGAAAGAAAAAGACAAAACCTTCTATAAAACAATATTGTAAAAAAAGTTGTTCTCTTTTTAATTGGACTCATTTGTAAACACAGCAGTAAAGAAGCACTTTTGTTAAAACAACCTTCACGGAGTTTGAGTTTGTTTGACCAGATTTGACTCAAGGTTTGTATCAGGGTTTTCTCAGGTCATTAAAAAGCATGAAATTATATTTGCTGGTACCTGCAAAAACTCTGTTTAAAATAAAGTAAACATAATGATACGTTTTTCTCGTAATTGTGCTCTATATATTTTTTCATTGTAGAAACTTTTTTTTTGTCATGATAATGTATTCAACTTTTAACCCCTTTAACCTTTATGATAATTAATTTTCTATATTTTTCTCACAAGTATTGTCTATTTGGCTGTTTTCTCTATTTTTCTGTGTTGATCTATTGAACCCTCCATTCGGTCAATAAACCGCGTGTTCCCTCAAACTCCCCAGGGTGCACTCTACCTTTAATTGTATGTGCTGCGATTGTGTTTGCGTAAACAGCACACTCACAGTGAGTGACACCGGGGGCATTTAATCAGAAAATTCAAGGCTTTGTATATGACAGTAGTTTTGTGGAGGCCTTTGACCTCAAACGTAACATGTGACCTTTGAAGGCTTAGTATCATTGTTAATCCACCTGATGGACCAGAGTGCCATCTTTTAAATGGATCTTCAACAGCAGACCAATCTCATCTGCGCGGACACTCCCACACCGGGGTAATTAGAGGCCCTTTGTAGCTGACAGTTGTAACTCAGTGTGTGGCCAGATGGCTGTACAACCAGAGCCATCTCCTAATCAGCTGAGTAAGGGAAGAATATGAGTGATAATTTCCCAGGAGAGCAGAGGATTTTGAGCCACCTACTGATGATTTATTACACTTCCTTAAAAGAAGATCTCCTGATGTGCACTTTTACAATATTAAGGGATTAAAAAACAGGGATAAATATAAATGTTTAATTTTAATTTTGCTAAGAATTAGAACAGGGCTATTAAAAATTGATTCTCTTCAAATGCACTGTGATATTGTGCAAGTGCAAAGTTTCTCCTGCGGCTACAGTGGAGAGAATTTCTTTTCACTTGAGAAAAGGTCATGTATCAGATTGTCTTTGTGTAAATGGTCCTTTCCAATTTGCTTCTTCGTACAGATGCAAGAGGCCCTTTCTGCTCTGTCTGACCTTGTGCCGTCACAGATGTCCTCTACACCATCTCTGTATTACCAGGATCAGATACCCCCCAAAGAGAACCAGGGATCCCATCGCAGCAAGGACGCCCCCTCGGCGTCCTCATCTTCATACAGAGGGACAGAACGTGACAGAGACAGAGACAGAGACAAAGACAATATAAGGGAGAGGGACAGAGAGAGGGACAAAGAAAGAGATAGAGAAAAAGACAGGGATAGAGACAGAGTTAGGGATAGAGACAGAAACAGAGACAGGAACAAAGGAAGAGACAAAGACAAAAAGAAGAAAAAGCACAGGAGGAGGTCAAGGTCGAGATCAAGATCAAGATCAAGGTCGAAGAACAAACACTCTCTACCCAGTGCCTACAAAAGATCTCGCAGGTCACGGTAGGTCACAGTGTGAAGATGTTTTATTTAAAGAAGTCACTCATTGATTTTGACAGTAGAAAATTAATTTGTGTTGAAGCAAAACTGTACGCAAAGTAAAGAAAAGGACAGAACCGGTCAGATTGTGTTGTTACACGTTTACTCTATAGTAATATAATAATAATAATATGCCCAATAGTAATGGTCAATTATACAAGAATTTATTTTTGGCCTAATTTGAGATTTACATAAAGGAAAAGCCGTGTTAAACTGTAATGCAATAAATTATTGTTGGGGTGGTGTGTTTTCAATATATTTATACATATATATTTATATATATATACAGTATATATTTAAGTTAAAAAAAGTCAAAATGAATTCATTAATCACAATAATCATTTTGGAAATCAGGTACATTTTAGCATCTGACTAAGCAGAACGCACTGTAACTCCAACCTTCCACCTATCATTGGTCTGAAACAGTGGAGGGACATAATATTTTGTTTGTTACAAAAAAAAAATGTTTTTCTCATATTCAGTACTGTCAGTGTATCTCAACCACGATAAATGGTGATGAATTACGATTGATCATGATAAATCTATGAATTCTAATTGTTTTACAGCCCTAGGTTTTTTTTAAAATGTGTGATACATAAATACATTTGTAAGAGTTTCACATAAAGGGAGAAAGGCTAATTTGTGTGGGAGATGTCAATGTTTGAAATTTAAAAGTGATTTTTTTTTCTGTTCAAATGTCACAGTAGGGTAGAAAATAAAAAATATCCAGTACAGTTTTCCATCGCTGTGGTTCTTTTGATTTGGTTTTGTTGAACCTAGCCACAGAATCATGTTTCACCATGCCTCATGTTTGATGTCCGTATGGCTTTGTTCTTTTATCTCTGTCTTCTGTTCCCTGACTTGGATGTGAATTGTGTCGCATTCATTTCTAAAATCCACTCAAACACAGTTCACAACCATGTTTTTTTTAACTCACTCGTTCACCTTCACAACAGCTCCCTGCCGTCGCCTTATCTCTGTTTTCAGCCTCATCTGCTGGTGTGCTCATTTCATATGCATCAGCTCATCATTCAGTTTGCAATTTAATGCCCTCTTCTGTCTCACACCTTTCCTCTACTCTACCCTTGTCTGGACAGATCCCGTTCACACTCCCCCGGGAGAAGAGACAGGAGGAGAAGTCAAGAGAGAGATAGGGATCGGCATCGTCACAGTCGCAGCAGTATACCCAGGGGGCGCTCCAGATCCAGGTAAAGCTAACAGCAGGTGCCATAAGTGTCATTTTTATTGTTATTGGTTCCCTCTATGTTTGATCAATTATTTGCATTGACATTGATGATACTTAAAGTCAGCATAAATCAGCGGATGAAACACTGAACCCCACGTGACCATAAAAGGTAACCATAATCAACTTGTTTCACAAGCATTTTCTTTTCCATTGTTTTGCTGAATACACAGTCCTAGGCTTCTGAAGAAGTTCCCTTGAAGAACCCTGTGTTCTGTAGTGTAAATGCAACCTCTCCTGCCTTTACCTTCCAGATCCCCTGCTGACAAACGGAGGAGCTCCTTGTCAGGACAGACCCAAACTGTCGGGGCCTCTTTCTCTCCTTACTCCTCACCAGGCAGGGTTCTGTCTCAGTCGGCAAGTCCTGCTTCCAGCCAGACATATTCTAGGTAACGTGCTGGAAACCTGTCACGTGAAGAAGCTACGTTTTTAGGCTAAGCTTATAAAACTGTGGTCGTGCAAAAATAGCAAGTTTAGATAAAACAAACCAGTGAATTAGCTCCAGCCTATTGTCTAGAGCAATCTATAATTGTTTGATAATAGGTGATTGTGACACAAAATGGATTGGTTGAAAAGAATCTAAAGGTTGAAAAAAAAAAATATATATATACAGTAAATATATATGTATATATATATATATATATATATATATATGCTTTAACCAGAAATTAGGATTTTTTTTTTCATTGAAATAAAGAAATTGAACTTCAAGACATCAAGCAAAATAAGAATGTTCTTACACATAAAACGTAGGATATTAGTTACAATAAAAATGTAGTTTATGCTAACCGTGCATGTTTTTTGTAAGTACAAAAAAGTAAAATAGTAAGTTACCTGTCCTGCGTTACAAACACATATTATTTGTGTGCATTTAACCTATCCAGTACACGTTACTACAGACATAATGACAGCCATACAAATGGGAAGCTCTGGTGGCCTGCATAAAATGGCGTCACGGGTGAATTTGGCCCGCAAGCCTTATGTTTGATGCATGGTTCAGTGTGATGTTATTGTTTTGTGCATTCAGTTGCTATTTAGAATGAAACAGCTGTAAAGCTAAGTGAACAATGTTGACTTACCTTGGTTCAGTAGGTTACATGAGGGCTGTGTTAACTTGATTCACCAAAACTAAGATCAAAAATAAGAAGTTACAGTTCTTCATGCTGGTCAGTGTGTCATGTCTCTGTAACAAAGTTCTGTCCTTTTCTGTGCACTGGACTTAACGGAAAATAAATCCTCGAACCTGATGTAATATTTATCAGATGGACAACATATTTGCATGATCAGCGATTCTCCTCCTGAAAGAAGTTGGCTTGAATAATGTAACCCAGGCACAGCAGGCAGGAGTATTGCCCTGTTGTGTCATCATTATGAGCAGTAAATCATCCAAAACACGGCTGGAAAACAGCAGTAATGCCAGCTTTGTGAGAAGGAAAGTGGGTGAAACGAAGCCCAGGTCTTGTCGTGGTGTCGGAGGAATTCTAAGTCTTAATACAAATGGAAAACACTTGGAGCATTAAATCTAAACAGCCAATAATCTTTTAGTTTGGAGCCAGCATCTCTCAGATTCAAGGTCTCAAAGTGAAAATGGCATTCAGAGGAATGAACATAATCTCCTCTGATACAATGGCTGTTGGTGTTGACGATATGTCTGACAGAGAAGCAAAGCTGTGTGTGTTCGTGTGTGAATGCTACAGGGCATACGAGGCCAGACCACTTTCTTCCCCAACTCTTCTCCCTATTTGTCCCCAAATAAAATAGTACATCTGTTCTGTAACAGCTCCTAAACTAGGCCAAATGTTTGCAGCACTCGACAGTAATGAAGTGAAGGAAAAGTTTCTCTTCTGCTGGTATCAGCAGATAACTCAATGCCATGACTACACGATGTTATTTGTTGTTGGGTTGTTTTTTTGTTTGTTTGTTTATTTTTAAGAAACAGTGAAACTTTGAACATCAGTAAAAGTTCTTGCATTGCTTTATTATGAAATATGCAAAAGGAAGGAGCTTTCCATGAATAAAAACAGCTTATCTGGGCTTCTGTTGCACAGTCATAACACAATTTGTCTAAAGTTATTTTGGTAATATTTATTACTTTTACTTTATTTATTTTAAGTTACTAAGTGTTAAACCGTTTAATGGCTAAATATTAGCAGTCAAACAGTTAAATGTGGTTTGTGTGTGTTTGTTCTAGAAATACTATACAAACAACCAATGTTATGGCAAAATGAATCACAGATATCTATTAGGAATTTGAGGATGATATGTAGTTGGTCAGAACTAAAAAAAAAAACAAGCTAAATCAGTGATCATCAACTGGTGGCATGTGGGCCGAATGTGTCACGCTGATGATCCAGTCTGGCCCATGACTGGATTTCAAAATAAACATCAAATAATAATTTGAAAGTGAAAGTGAATTATTTGTCATTGTGACACAGCACACCACTGCACACAAGCTCCGACTCCTTAACCACCAAGGCACCACTACACCACTTACAATTTGTGTGTCCAGAAAAATTCTGGCCCTTCAATATATATAGTTAATTGCTCATACTAAAAATATGCACATACGTGTTTTCTGGTGCTTCTTTTATCCAGGTATTAAAACAAATCTTAATGTTGACCCAGCTATAAACCAGCTAAATGTGCTGCAGGAATGTACACAAACCTCATCAGAGATAAGAAATTAAACTGACAGTCATGAAAGCACAGGAAAGCCATTTACAAATTCTCTTGAAATTCTTAAGTAAGCATTACGGTGCTCCACTAATTCCAAAAAAAGCTTTCTAGCACTTAGATAAATTGACTGAGGCATATATATTTTAAAAAAATCACATTTGATTACATTTTCAAAATGTATTTGGCAAAAAGTTGGTTTCCAGTCTATAAATACATTTAGTTTTCTCTGTTCACCTATTGTCAATGTGAACACTGAACTACAGATAAAAAGGCTGTTGTTGCTATTGACCGTCTCTCTGTCCTTCTCCAATTGTCTCACAGGGGGGGCTCTCAGGAGAAAGACAAGGCAGTGTCCTCATCCATTGTGTCCTCAGTTCAGTCCAAAATAACTCAGGTACTTTCTTTTTTTTTCCTTCTGTTCTTTGTTTATAATTTTTTCACCAGCTGGCCACATGTTTAACTATACAACAGCAAGGCCTGACGGCTGTCATCTGCAATCTTTCCAGTTTTCACAAACTCTCAAATTCATGCACCAACCAAAAAATATGCAAATAAAGGTCAAACACTTCAAAATAAATGGATTAAAGGAAGAATGTAAATGTAGGAATACCAGAACTCATGATTCAAAAAGCATCATGTTTTTCTCTTTCAGAGCCTTTGGTCACTGTTCTCCTAAATATCACAATAACAAAAATAGCCTGCAGATGCTATTGTTAGCTTCTGTTTAATCAGTCGTTGGTTTAAAAATAATAACAAAACACAGATCTTCTATTGTACTTGTCTGTAAATAGAGAATATTCCAGATAATTTTGCATCTTTAATTTTAATATAAATCAGTCAACAGTCTCCACTTTTTATTCACATAAGCCAGATTTGCCGATGTGTATATAAGAATATATATGAATATATATATACATATATATTCCATATATTCTATATACTCTATATGTGTATATATAGATATGTATATTTTTATCTATAGTTTTAGATATATATATCAAGTGACGGTTTTCTTTTTTTATTTTCTTTTAATTACATTTTCTAGAGATTACAGTGTGAGAGTTTGAATCAGTAGATGTGAATGGGTCAATGTGGACGGAGCAGTCAACAGTCCCATCTGCGGTATGAAACGCTAACATCAGCTGCTCTCTACTTGTACGATGTAGTAACTCATCAGATTCCTCGTGACCATGCAACTTTAGATAAACTAGAAATTAAACGGCCTTACACACAGTAAGTGTGTGTGTTAATTCCAATTAAGTGTTTTATAAAGCCTGCAGTTGTAGGAGCAGTTATCTTTACAAGAAAACAAGTGTTGAAGTGATTGTGGAGACGCTGCAGTGTCCACAAGCTGAGAAGCAGTGGGACTGGAGCTAATGGAGGTCAGCAGAGTGTGAATGCAGAGGCAACACTCGCAGTTCTGAGAACACTGGTACAATTTATACTGCTATACAATGAATTTGGGTTCCATTCTCTCTCCTGGCCTTTGGCAGTTGTTTGTGAGTGTGCCAATGTGTATGTGTGTGTGTAAGAGAGAGAGAGAGATGTGCCTCAGAATGGGTTTTTACCACACACGTCTTGATGTTTCTCTCTTGAGGAAGAAAAACATCTTTCTTCTTGCGCTTTTTATTATCTCCACCCAAACTCCAGCTCTTCTCCTCCTGCCTTCATCTTCACACAACGGCCGCAGCAGCACATTCATGAAAACCCTCTGCTGTTAGAGCAGTCACAGATAATATCAGCAGCACTGAGCGCAGATGCCCTGTCTGCGTGATGTTTTACATACACATCTTAAATTATTCAGCAGCTCCTCATCTGCCTAATGGTCTTCTCCCTCCTCAGGGCCTCATTCTCCCTCTAGCTCTCTCTCTCTCTCTCTCTCTCACTGTCTTACTTTGGTAATTTTTGGCTTTGATTCCGTCTCTTTTCTATCATCGTAAAGCATTTTAGGTTGTTTCCTCTGATTATCAGTGCAATTGAAGTAAGTCTCTTTAAACCTGCAATGGTTATTCAAAATCAGCTGAGTGTAAAAATTAGTCTAGAGTTGTGCATTTGATGTATTTATTTTCTGCTAAGTTCAAGGATGGTTTTAGACGACGGTTTTAAATAATATTTGGGAGCTGGAGTTCCAAGTTAATATTCCACCCGGTGCCTAATCCCAGGTAAGGTTTAATCAGGAAGTGCATACAGTGTTCACAGACAAATACTTGATTATCGTTGGGGATATTGAATGTCTATGAATATTTTATTCTTTTTTGTGTGTGTGTGTGTTTCTAATTTGGATACAAATTAGCAAAAGTACATAAGCTGTTAATGTTAACGATCATGTTGATGTTAATAGCACTGAATGCAATGATGCTGATCAGTGTGAGGTGCTGACAGCAGGGAGGATTTGATGTTGAGCTGAAGTTCGCAGTGAACAGAATGAATGAAAATTGCGATTCATGATAAACAGCACCACAAACATGGAGCGCTACAATATCTGTTGGTATGTAGTCAATCCCATGGCAAAGAAGACATTTTGATGAGCCGTCCACATTACCAGCATTATTGACTAAGATGGTGGCACTGTACAGTATATGTGGAGGAGATGAAGATGCTAAGATCTTCAGTGGGAGTGACCAGGATGGACAGGATCAGAGATGAGCAGATCAGAGGGACAGTTAAGGTGGAGCAGTTTGGAGATGAATTTAGAGAGGAGAGGTGGAGATGGTTTGGACATGAGCTGAGGAGACATGGTGGAGATGGAGCTGCCAGGCAAGAGGAGAAGAGAAAGACCAGAGATGTATGGATGTAATGAAAGAGGATATGAAGATGGTTGGTGTAAAAGTAGAGGAGACACAAGGTTTGGTTTGAGATTGAAGCAGATGGTCATCTGTGAGTCCTGTAAAGAACTGATTGGCTGATCGACCTGGAGAAACCATCAATAAGATACAATCTCTCATTTACCTATAACATCAATCTGAGTTCTTTCCCCAGAAAACTATCTATCACCTAACAACACAGACAGACTAAGGGACACACGGCCATGTTTGCCTCTAGTGTTGTTTTAACCACAATGACCCTCGTGACACCTTTGAAGATGGTCCATTTGCCCAATGTAACTGAATAAGAAGATCTTGGATAAGAAGACCTGGATGACTGAGAGCCTTTATAGACACTGGCTGATCAAGATTCGTCCAAAGCCTTCATCCTGGAGCCACTAATTCAAATAACCCCGTATTTTCTCGATACTGCAGCGTGCAAAATTATATAGACACTGGCTGATCAAGAAATTGCTGAGGGAGATCTTGAAGAAGATTCCAAAAACATACAGGGACTTGGTAGAGACCTAAAGATTGAACAGTAGAGGAGGCAAAAATACAGTGTGATGGAGGTTGCTGTGGGGTCGTGCTAAGGTAGAGATGAACCATGGATCACGTTAAAGTCTATAAAGCAGGGATGACAAACTGTATTTGCTGGAGGGCTGGAATTCGTCTGGACAGACACCTTAGGGACTGGACACAGGCTGCCAGTTAATGATCATGTTTTAAAGGTTACTACAGGTCTGTCAATCATCTACTCAGTTGGTGACTTCGCTGTTATCTTTGTTAGTTATAATTCTGCAATCCAAGCTGTAGAACTATTCTGTAAATGTGTTCTTCCGACCATGCTGCCATTTGCTTTGAAACTTTTTGGGGATCTAAAAAGTCCCATAATTCCAGCCAGGCTCTGACAACTGAAGTCAAGTTCAAAGTCGAGTAGTAAGAGCACAAATTACTCGTGAGGTTAATTGAGTTTCCTGCTCAGACTCACTTCTCCTTGATAAGCCCTTTATTTTATTTATTTTTCTCTCCCCATAGACTCTTCCGCCTCCTGTCTACAAGACAGCTTTTTAAAAAGTCTAAAAACTGTTAAAGTAGCGTATCATCACTGTGCTGACACCAGTGCACAATTAGAAACAAAGTGGCAGCAGACTGAAGCTGCAGGGAAGAATCAGTTGGACTCACTCTGAGAAGTTTACACTTTTCTAACGCAGCCGGTAATTAAAATGTCCTTTTGAATCTGTGGCTTAGGAAGAACTGTTTTCAATGACAACTAGTGAAATGTAACAAATTCAGTTTAGATGCACTTTGATTTTACACAGTATAAATGGACGCATGGTTTATGACAATTAAATTATTAAATTCTAATGAACTTCTGTGGTAATCCAGGGCAAGGCTAACAGTAATCTAAGTTGATATGAGTCTGTCCAATAAGTTGATGACATTTTGAAGCGTTTGTTTGTTCACGCTTGGTCTCAGCCGTTGAATGTTGTGATATGATGGGCTCCTCCAATTGTAAGTACCTCTGTCTCATTTGTCTCCTCTGTCAGAAAGGCCCAAGGAGGGGCTTGAGTTTATCCACTTATCACTTATCACACCTACTCTGCAGATATACACTTCCTGTTTATATTTACACTTCAGGCGAAAGAAAAAGAAACTGAAAACTACCAGAAATTGTCATTTTAAGATACCCTAATTATTTTCTCTTCACCACCACCACCCCTTATTTATTTGACATCATTACTTATTTACTATGTTTTTCTGATTAGTCTCAATGATTAGTGGTTTTCTTGGGGCAAGGCAGATGTTTGGTTCCGTTCCTTCATCTCATTTGCTCAGCATGTTGCAATCAATATCTTTTTCCACTTTTATCTATTTATTGTAGATTATGAGTCATTTAGAAGTGAATAAGTTTAAGAGGCTAAGGCGGGGGTCTGCAACCTGTGGCTCCTGAACCACATTTGGGCCCTTGTGAGTTTATGTAATGTTTGGACTAAAAAAAAAAAAATCACCACCAAGTATGCAGCAAAAAAATGTCATAGAACAATGGAAAGGAAACCTAAAAGACTAACCTGAACTGATGCCAAATGAGAATCGGACGACCGGATGCTGAGTCTGTTAATGTTAAAACCAACATAGTTGAGTATGAAATGGAACATTGGGTACAAAGCACGAAACCCATGGAGCCGCTAATTCAAATTAGCCTGTATTTTTCTAAAACTGCAGTGTACAAAATTAGTTTTCACCCAAAATGAGTGTATCCCCATTGTATGACTCAACACCAACCAATATGAAAACTATGCTTCTAAAAAGAAATCTAGTGGGGAAAAGGAACACAGCCGAGAGCTGCTCACTGGGAAGCTGATTGTAATTGTGGGAATGATTATCAACAGGTCTTTAACACAACAGGAAGTCATTTGATTAAATGTGCTAACAGGGAAGTCTGGTGTGTAATTGATCTGCAACACACTGGGAATAAGAGCAGTACAGTGTTAACCAAATCACTTTCATTTCATTCAGTAATTACTCCCAAAGAATCCTTCGCTTTTTTTTTTCTTCAGTAATTTTTGAGAAACTGTTTTTTTACCCTGACGCAACACTGGATTTTTAAATAAAGCAGACTTTTTCATAGCTGTGGAATCGATAAATAAATGTGAGATCGACAAAAAAAGTAGAGGTGTCGTCAGTTTATGCAGGATTCAATGCGAGCTATAACGAGAACAACACACACACACACTCTCTTCTTTCACACACATGCTCAATCGCACACACTTACTCACACACACTCGTTGTCTGATGTAAGCGATCCCTGGGGCTTTTTCTCTCACACACACATGCTCAATCACACACACTTACTCACACACACTCGTCGTCTGATGTAAGCGATCCCTGGGGCTTTCATCACAGCAGCAGCCCTTCTACCCCAGTCAGTGGTAGCTTTTCACCCCTGGGCATCCTGCAACTTTCCAGTGCTATCAGTCCTGAACACCCACATTCCTCTTACCCATGGTGCATCAGAGAATGCAGAAAGTTACAGTTTTTACGTCCAACCTTTGACTCACTTCACCTGTCCTTTCTTATTTTCCAGGATCTAATGGCCAAAGTGCGAGCCATGCTCGCCACTTCCAAGACCTTCCAATCTTCTAACTCCTAACGAGGACGTAAGTTCTGATCTGACACGACCGCCTCAACCAACCAGTGAGCTGCAGTTTTTAGATTTTGAGATGTTATTTAGATCCGATTCTTTGTTGTTGTTTTTTTCTAAAATTCTGACAGTTTCATGTGATTTAAATTTTGGCTGCAGCATCGCCTCACAAAAACAACTCTGAATCTGAGAAATCAGATTGAAGATCACATTGGCGGTTAACATTTTTTGATGCAGGGGAGATTTAAGTAAACCATATGATTTTCTTCAACCCGATGAAAGAGACGTGGCTTCTCCTCCTCCGTGTTGACAGTCATTCTCTGCAGCATCACCTCCTGCTGACGGAGGTCCTTACTTTCTTTCCTTCTGTGAAGGATTGCGCCGATAATATCAGTTTCTTGCCTCCTCATCTGCTACTCTCTGCTCTTGTGTCTTTTCTCAACACAGCCATCTGGGGAGCAGTTTTATTTTTTTGATTCTGACCTTCATACTCTATCGTGTGGCCTTCTCTCTCTCAATTTTGTGTTTTTATTTTATTTTATTTTTTTTTTTTGTTTGTTTTTTGTTTCCAGTTTGTCCTGGAATGATTGATTGCCGTACTTCTTTCTCATCAAATTGTTAAATAAAGTTTCAAGCCTCTTTAATTATCTTCTTCTACTTGACAAACTTGAGTGTCTGTGTGTGTGTGTGTGTGTGTCTGTCTCTCTGTCTCTCTGTCTGCGGGAGTTATAATGGACATAAAACTAAAGCAACTGACTCAAAATCCCATTCGTTGAACAGTGATAAGATGTGTAACGCGTCCGATATCAGCAGCGGCGCTGATAATCTTGACAAATACATCAGTCGATCAGCTGATGTCCTCTGGCTACTACCTGCCGTTCACCAGGTACAGAACCTGTCGGGAGATTCTGTCTTGAATAAGCCTCAGGCTGCTCGTAACAGATTAAATATTGGATAGATACGGGGCATCAGAATGATCAATACAATAACAAGATGGAAAAAAAATGGAGATGGTTAATGGTGGTTCTTAATTCATCTTTAATCTCCCTTTAATCTTTTAATAATTAAAAACGAAAGATAAGTTAGTTCATCTCCAGTTGACTGAAAAAGCTTTCAAAACAGCACACAATAAAAAAAGTAACCAAGTATCTCTATAATAAATAAAAAAGTATTAAATAAACAGCAGAAAATGTCATTAAATAGGAAAAGCAAAAAAAAAAAGGAAGTATCACAGAATCCACAGCTACTACTGACAAGGTTGTGTTATTTTCGGCCAACATCTCAGAACATGGACATGGAACTGGTTTGATGATGTCATAGCCCTGGCTGAAGTATGAGGTCTCAAACCTCTGACTTCTGATAAGGAACCTATAAAGACCATTGGGGGGAAAGGGGATTGTAAAATAGGTAGGAAACTATGGCAGTAATGAGAACCAGAACAACGTTCTCACCTCCTCCTCTCACCTGGTGAATTTAAAGGCAAATTATGGACCACCTGCAGGCAATGAAGGTAGTCATCAAACTCAACATAAAAATATTTGCAACCGTTTAAGCAGTTTGTTGCTAGATGTAGATTACCCTCTGAAAATTATGCCATGCTAAATAAGCCTTAGCCTTAGATCGCAGCCTTAATGGATGAAAGCTAATCTACACATCAGAGCTAATGGGACTTTAAAATGAAAAGGCAATTCCGAATGCACTGCAAGAACCCTTGCAATTTAATGTCAGAATGGATCTAAGCACACCCACGGCATTATGTAAGTGTTGTCAGTGCAAAAAACATTTTTGTGTTTTTTTGTTTTGCCTCAGATATCCTTCTCTATTGTGGTAAGCAACGTGTTTGTCTTTGAAATTACACCAAATATTACTGAATGAAGGGGTGGTATTTGTGTTGACAGCTTGAGTAAACGTTGGTCATCTGCGTATAAGGTGAAGTTATGGTGGAGTTACTTTACATCAAGGATCAGCTTCAAGCCTTATTAATAATGCTAAATCAGTAGAAGTCTGTGGATTATATTGTTTGCAGATGACACTGTGATTTACAGTGGTAAAAATTAAGTATGTGGAAGGTTTGAAGTTTTGACGAACTTTGGAACTGATGATGGATGTGGTGTTTTAAATTCTGAAGTGGAGGAGTTTAAAGACCAGGGTCACGACAGGTTGGACATGAGGTGATAGTGGAGCAGCTTGAACAAAAACCTTAGTGAGGAAAAAACTTCTCTGACAAGTTGCCCTCTTAAAAATGTTATAGTGTCTGAATTCCGTCCCCATTACAGCTCTCAGACTCCACATTGATTTTGGCCCAAATTTCCAGGACTGTCTTCATTCTGATTTTAGTATCTTGTTTTCCACTGAGAGCCAGAGAGTGTAAAATTGGTCTGGATTGGTTTCTGTGAAATTTGCTCTCAAGTCTTATCTCCTGGAGACAAAAATGTTTTTTTGTCTCCTCCGGCTGCTAACTTGACAGCAGCAGACAGTAGATTATGATTCCAGGGGAGAAGGGTGAGGCGATTGTACGATGCCGTGTCACCAAGTCACCGATCACTGACCGTACCATGACACAAGCTAAACTCTTTTGAGATGCCTTGTTGTCGTCGATATCAAAGACAAACTGACACTGATGTTTGTCTCAGTGGTGACGATGATTTAAATATAGCTGTGATTTATGGGCCCCCTTCAAAACTCACAAAGTCACCTTATACGACAGGATTAAACCACATCCTGTAAAATGTCTACAGCCATAAAACAAGAGCAGTAAAAACAAAAACAAAAAAAAACAATGACGAACAATGGAGGGAATAAAACTTGTTTGTAGATGGTAAAATCAGAACAAACCCTGGTAGAGACGAGATATGACCGGAGTGAAGGAGCAGATTGATTATTGTGGAACAAGGGTCAGTTTCGTTCATCAGGTTGTAAGGTCAGAGGTCAGATCCTAGTCTCCTACCTTTTTCCCTTTTACATGCCAGTGTGTCCCTGGGCAAAGTACATAGTAACAGAGGAGTACGTTTTTGAAAGCCTTGAAGGGGGAGCGTAGTATTTGGATGCCTATGGTGTCATTTATATTTTTTTTTTATTAATTTCACAGTAGTGATGTGTAATGCACAAATGGTTTTAAAAAAGCTAGCTTGCATCGAGTGAGAGCCGGCTCCCAGTGTTTTTCCTTTCGCTCCCTACCCCAATGCTCTGCCTGAGCTCTGCTCAAGGAGAATTTTGTTTTGATTGGTCGATTCGTCATTGGTTGTTAACAAAAAGGAAAAAACACACCACACATTTACATTGTCATTACTTGACTTGTAATTTACGCATGTTGTCTTTAGGCTGTTGCTGATGTTTTAAATAGTGATGGCCCAAAAACACCATGTCAGGCCTGATACTGATACCAGTACTGCAAAATGGAGTATCTGCAGGTAATACGCCCATACTGTCTATTCTCCTCTTTATTCGTTCTTAGTATGTACTGTATATGTACTTTGCATGCGTTTACTTGATGGCGAGACAGATTTCTGATTGGTCATGGTCTCCACAGGGCCAGTAAAACAATCAAAATAAAAGTTGTAGTGGTTTTACTTTTTTACCCAGAGATCATGACTAAACCTCAATGCCTGCAAACAGAAAAATAGCAGTTACCATGGTAACAGTTACTGTTGGCACTGTTGGAGATTTGTTTTGTTAAAAAGAGCATTATTTGCTAAGACAACATCCAGACATTGTGACCAGACCTTTCTGGATTTGTGGCGTTTGATGTTATATTTTTTTCTCCTAATCCTTTAGACCACTTACTTAGAGAGACCCATTTTCAGGGCCACACAAGAGTGACAACTATGTGAGCCAAAGGATTTCTTTGGAAGAAATGTTCATTGTGACTATGTTTATCGAAGTATTAATAGAGAGGACGATTATTTAGTCCTGCAGTGCTATAAGCGAAAGAAGGTTTGCCAGTTGAAAGTCATACACATTGGCTTTCTTTAGTTTGTAGTTTTTTGGGGGGGAACTTTTTGCCCTTCATTATGGCTCCCAGGCGTAAATCAGATTATTCTGATGTTATTATGTCATAGATTATGACGTTACCACAGCGTTAGTGGAGGTGAGTGACATATGTACTTATGTACGGAACAGACCTAACCACTTACTAAGTTTTTTTTTCTTTATCTTTTCATATAATTGTCTCATCATAATAAGTCCAAACTTATTTGCCTTTCTTGGTGATATTTTTTAGAAATGACTAAAATGTTTTGTTTTGTTCTTAATTTGTGGTCCTATCGACTGGAGGGACATTTCTGTCTCAGTCCAGTTCCTGGCCACATGTCTGAGCATCTGATGGTGTTTACTGAGACCAAACCCCTCACGGATCGATTTATTTTGTTTAACATAGATTGAGTTTTCAGACCAGGCCCTGCTTTAACTCTAACTCCACATCGTAAAATCATTGAGGCTTTTAATGAGGTGAGGACACTGTGTGTGTTTTTTATGAGCTACAAACATTTTGTTGTCTACTTGTTGATTTCTAAAAGGAACACTTTGTGCTAACCTTA